CCCACATGTAAGTTCTATCCTAACTGCAATCCAAACAGTGACCCGATACGCAGATACACCATAGATATCTCAGCAATAGCTATCTAGTCCATACATATATAAATATCCACACTAAGGGACATTCACTGGACTATGTAGGGGGTCTCAACCTGAATAGAAGGCAACATGCAAAAACGCACCCAAAGGTGGGCATAAGTACCTAGACCTAACAGGGTACACCTCAACCTACTATAACCAGCTATACATCCACTGCATATACGCACCTTAACCAACGAGTCTGAGAATCAAGCTCATCTCGCGGTACCATAATCATATGTTTAAAATCCGTCCAAACCAGAGTATGTCATTCAATTTCTTTGTTGATCTGACATAAGACGTATAATCAGTTAACCACTCAACTTATTCAGTTAATATGAGTTAACTCCAAACAACAGTAAATCCAAATGGTCACTCAACTTACTCAGTTGATCTGACTTAAACAAAATTAGGATTCAATATTTTACAATCATTTCCTTTAATCCAATAGGTTAGGTTTATGCGTTTTGAGCTAAACCATCCCTAGTATGACACCGTCCCATACCGGTGTATATAATCCTCCATATCCATGTAATTGACAGAATATATATTAATCCAGCAATTAAAATCCAAAACCATGTAAAAATTACAGACTATGATAAATAGTACAGCAATTTAATATCCAAAACCAAAAGCCAGGTAATTGCAGAATAGTTCATATAATACTTCAGCAATTTCAATTCAAAACCATCATCCAGTTAATTGTAGAATAATATATACGATTTCACAATTAACATCTAAAACCATGTAAATTACAACATATAAATTAAAGTTTAGCAATTCACAGTCCAAACTAATATTCAAATAATTGCAGAACTGTGTTTAACATTCAGCAATTCAAATCCAAGCTTATAACCATATAGTTGCAGGAACTGATTTAATAATTCAACAAATAGCATCCCGAGCATGCATAGATCAGAACTAATAATTAAATGACCTTCTCATGCATTTTAAACAAGTTTTATAATCATGCTAAATCCGATCAAATTGCTAAAATTTAATTAAGCAATTAGTCCGTCTTCCATCCGTTAACAGCATAGAAAGTTCATTAATTTTATATTGTTTGTCCCATTGATTTAGAAATCAACTTTAATCAGTTCAAGGTTTTAATCACACCCAAAATTAAATATTTAACCCCTCTGTGAAGTCCCATTAAATTTCTGAAATTTAAACAAGCCACTCAGTTCCTTTCTTCTGTTAATAACATGTACAGTTGCATGTTTTTACACTGCTTCATCCTTTAACATAGAAACTTAAACCATGCAATAATAAGTTTAATAACACTTAGAATTAACCATTTAGACCCTCTGTAAAACCTCAGAGTCAACAGAACAGTTCCCATGCTCCAACAGTAAATAAACTGTTCGTAAAAAAAAAAAAAATTCAGAGAACACTATTGAAAAGAGCCTTCTCAAAAAACTGGAGAAGGCTCTAAACCACCTAGAGCCTTCTCTAAAAAACTAGAGAAGGCTCTAAATCACTTAGAGCAGGTTCCACATTTTAGAGCCTTCTCTTTCTCCCTTTGAGCCTTCTCCTTTGATTCCTGTTCCACCTGCATAATTGCATCTTTTATGCACTGAAGCTTATAGCAATACCTAGATTGCATGTTAATCATCTTAGTCTACTTCCCACACAGTTCCAGACTCAAGAATCGTCCACACAGTACACCCAAAAACCCACAATCGAGCCAAACAATGCACAAAACTACTTCTGTAAATAAGTAAGATCACAGAGCCTTCTCTAAAATAGTGGAGAAGGCTCAATCTGCCTAGAGCCGGCTCTCCCACAAGGGGGAGCTGGCTCTCCTTGCCTAGAGGCGGCTCTCTCTATGGGAGAGCCGGCTCTCTCCCTTTTGAGAGCCTCGACTTTGTTCCCTCTTCGTTTCCGACCATCTGCCTCGTCTCCGGCCCTTTCCTACCCCTCTGTTCTTCCTTAAAACTTGTCCTCACTGTCTAATATATATACAATGTTAATCCCCAGTCCTTAATTTACCACAGTACAAGTTAATATAGTGATATAAAACAACGACCAATTTAATACTTTGAAACAAACAACGAAGAACAGAGTTGCAAGAATTGTTTTCAGACAATATGCACATATACAGATGATCTAATTAACATATTCCAAGCATGTAAGATTCAATTAAAATTCAAATACAATCCTAGAGATCATCAAAGGATGCACAGAACACAGGCAAAGGGAGAGAGACAGAATAGAACTTGCCTTTCGGTTTCAGTTTGAAACCTTTCAACATCGTCTTCTTTCTAGGTTTTCCGGCGACCTTAGTTGCCGTTGAATCTCCTCTACTGCTCTTAGTTTAACCCCACCAGCAACTCAGTCCTTTCTCCTTGGTCCAACCTTTAATCCATAACGGAAATCCTAACGAAACTCTCTCTCTCTCTCTTCCTCACAATACCCTCTCTGTTTCTCTATGTTTCTATATACGAATAGGGTTTTAAAAACCCCTTGCAAAATTATCACAGTATATTCATAGGCATATATAAAACCTACGTCTACTTATATTTAGAGATGGAATCCCAACTAAACCCTAGTCGGCCAATTTTGTTATACGATTTAAAACCCTAGAATTTATAATACACCTTAAATGACGGTAATATTATAATTCAATTAATAATAATTACTAATTATTAACCTAATCCACACACACATATATATATACCCATATATACATGTATATACTTCCATGGGTAAATACTGTACCCATTTACACTATCCAAAAGTCCGTGAATCCTAACCAAGCCCAACCTTGTTTTAAAAATAAACAAATAAAACAATGCATTTAATTAAACATTTCAAAGGCTTCTTAAGTATATAATTCAATTAGAACAAAGAATTCAATTAACCAATTAAACATTCCAACATAACAACTAATCATTTAAATCAAATAAAAAAAATAATTAAACACAAAATCAAATAAACACACAAAAAAATGCCCTAAAAATAATTTAAATTCCAATTTTATCCTTTTGAAAAACTAGGGGTATTACAGTCTGGAATTGAATAAGTTTGCCTGATCTGATCTAGATCATATGGGGTAAGGGAGCCTGCTATATCCTGTACCAGATGTGTCTCTGACGGAGCCGAATCAGGTTAGCGGTGTTCCTTGTCTGATATAGTGTTGGATTCTGGGTGAAACATGCTAAGAGTAACACATTGCTGTATGCAAGAGCTTAGCTTCAGAGTGACCTATAAAATTTTCTAACATTGGTCTTGGTATATTGAGTTTGAGGAAGAAGCAACAGCTAATTAAATAGAAGAAGGAATAAAACAAGGGCATTGAACTTACCACATTACTATGACTGGTACTACTTGGCTTTCTGAAAAATGGAAGTAATTTGAATAAATTATACTCAAACCATCTCGATTTATAGAAGAAGAATGTAAACAGATAAGAAAGATATTTATGGTGGAATTCTAATAGAAATCTGCTTCGTGAGGGACAATTAACTCATAGCGGGTTATTTTGCATAGGAGTTTACTTTTACAAGGTAGAATAGGATTATGAGTCAATCCTCGAATAGGACAACCACACTGGCAGCCCCACATGAGTTACTTATGTGCCGAGAGGTAGATTGCCAGCATGGCAGCTTGCCACATATACGAGTTGCTAGCTCGACCCCCGACTGTATTCACGAAGTGGCAATACGAGTTAGGCTAATGGACAAGGCTCTACTACAATTCTAACTATCTATTATTATGTAATATTTGGGAATTAACGTTCCGGTGGTTTGACAAGCAATCCTCCGAAACAGGGGGCAACTGATGGATGTATAAATTAAATACCCGTGGATAAGGGAAGGTTGTTAAATTAGCGCGCTATCTAATAAGATTGAGATAGGCTCTACAGATTGCAATAAGGATTACAGATTACGATAAGGATTAAACTTACAGATTACGATAAAGATTAAGCCTACAGATTATGATAAGGATGAAGACAGCGGTAACTCTACGTGACATCCTGATCAACAGATATAAACTAACAAAACCATTGGAAACATAAGGAGGGAATAGAAATGCAAAAGGGAAATAGAAACCAAACAATTCGTTTAATTTCAAGGGTACAATGTTGGAGAATCTAAAATATAATATTTGAAGGTAAATTTGTCATTAACAAAATATTTTGAAACCTAAAATAAGTTTACCATCTTCTGCTATAAGCATGTAAGGTGTCGAAGGTGCGTTATTTTAAGTGATAGCCTAAATGGTTATCAAACACGCTAATTTATATTTTAAGAGGTGCGTTATTTTAAGTGATAACCTAAATGGTTATCAAACACGCTAATTTTGAAAAATGACTTACGTATGTATTTAGTGTTAATAACATTGTCAAACAGACCTCAAGTCCCATCCGAGCAATGGTAGGACCATAGGTGTGTGAGAAAGTTATACTACTTGAATGACTTGAGTTGCTCGGGTAAAGCCCATCTGTCCAGCCCTACTTACATGATATGAAAGAAAAATGAGAAAAAGATAAATTGTTGTGGATCGATCCCATCAAAAGTTCATAACAATATCCAGCTGAGTTATTTTATTTCAGTTTTGAATCTTTTGATGTTCCCCTTAATTTTTGGTTTTGATAACATTTAAAAAAAAAAAAAAAATGTAGAAATTCATTAATGACCAGAACTACTTTAAGAATTATCATCTTTCCTAGTGTGTTCATAAATACTGTAATAAATTATAGTATAAACAGAAGTAATGCAGAATCAATTGAGCAGTTGAGCCCAGTAAGGCCCACTCCCATCGAAGTCCAGGTCCACGTTCGAACACCGCACTTTTTTATCGCACTCTAGATCGTGATTCGTTGGGGGTAAATATGTCATTTCATATCGCCGCAGTAGTTCCATACGACCGGTCGGCGCAATTAAAGTCACCCACGAGGTCGGTCCTCCCTCTTTCTGAACCAAATGTAAAAAGAGCCAAACTGGTCACCCCCAATTATATAAATTCAGCCAGACCCACAATCTCTCCCTCTTTCTCTCTCTACTTTTTGTTTGAACTCGAAACATCTATTTCGCAGACACACCACTCACCATATCACAGCTCTTTCTCTCTCTACTTTGTTTGAACTTTAACCGGCAAACCACAATTCTTGTGACAGTCTCTCTCTCTCTATATCTGGAGATTCATCATTTCAATGGCGGGGAGTGTTTGAAGTTGGAGAGAGAAAGTGATTGATGGCTTCGGGGGGCGGTTATAGGAATGGCATTCAGAAAGGAACAGTGAAGCTGGATCGGCATCTCCCTGCTAATGGCAATAACCTCAGAACATCTTCTTCTTTCAAATCGAAGCTCTCTTCCTCGTCTAATGTCCGCCGGAGCAGCCCTTCCGCTCTTGGCGGAGCCGCCAAGGACGGCGATGCAGGTCAGTTCCGTAAAACTCTCTTTGAACTTGATCTCTGGTTCTTCTTGTTGTTGATTTTACATTGCGATCTAGATTCCTGTTGATTTTTTTGCAATGTAATCTGTAAAATCGTGGTTTAGCTATTGATCAAGTTTGATTTCACATTTCCGATATATGAATTTTTTCGGCAACATTTTGAGAGTTACTGTTGTAGTTCATTTTCAGTTTTATTCAACAATGAATCTACAATGCAATGCCATCTTGCATGAAGTATTAATGAATTGGTTAAGAAGATGTATAAGAGGCACTTGAATACTGAGCCTATGTTTCAAACTAGTGAATCATACTTGATACGGAATTCTTAAAAAATCAAGGATGATAATTCATTCAAGATTCATTTTAGTTAGGGAAGGTTTATGTGTGAACAAGGATAACTTTATTCGTTGGCCTCCGTTTTACTAGTTCAAACGCCACTTCGTAAAAATAATTAAGATACTATTTATGTGCTAAGAAGAAAAACGGCCATTTATGTGGTTAGGTTTGTGTACTTCATTAGTTTCATAATAATCATATTGCTCTTGCAACAGGCTTTTTAGCAATTAAGTTGTTTGAGTTCTTACGAATTGTTTCTTGTAAACTTAATTTTTACCACTAAACTAGCATCATTGAAGAGGAGTTTTAAGGTGAAATTTTCAGTACATCCAAGATAAATGGAGATGGATGAGCCAAAATACCAGGGAAATATAGGAGTTGTTCTGAATAGGTGATGGAATAAGATAGAACTTATTGAGGCTGAAATAGGCATATAGGGAAACTTTTAATCCTCATTCTTTAAAAGAAGAATTGGTTTTTGATGGAGAATGATGACAGAATGAGTATGTCCTAACACCAATTTATTTTTTTCTTTTTTAGGAAATTATCTATTATGATTGTTGTTGTTATCAGTATTTTAAATACAGCTCTGGGTGGCCACTCATTCAAGTATTTAATAATATTATGCTTTGGTGGTTACAAAGTAAGCCCCAAACTTGGAAAAAGGAATTACTCGCTTTTATTTGTCAGGTGGCAATCCAATGTTTTTCCAGCCTCCAAGCTGTATTTTAGGCTTTAGAAAATGTTCTGGGATCTGAACTTCTAATGATTTATTTCTATCATCATTTAAATTATGTTTTTATCGCACAAGGTCATCTAATTTCTGCTACTTTTCTTTTTTCCCTCTCAGCAATGAATGATAAATTGTTGGTTCTGTACAGTTTCTGGAAGAGTTAGAGTGGCTGTAAGATTGCGACCTCGAAATGCTGAGGAGTTGGTGACAGATGCAGATTTTGCTGATTGTGTGGAATTGCAGCCAGAGGTGCTCCATAAAATTCCTCCTACAATAAAAAACTCCAAATGCCAATTTCAAAAGTCAGCTATATATATTTAATTACTCAAAAGTTAGCTTTTTTTTTTTTTGTGTGTGTGTGTTTTGGTTAGAGATACTACTTGAGTTTTGTCACTTACAGTAGGTAGTTTGTTATGGTGCCATAATTCATTTTGATTTTTGCTCCATCTCAGCTTAAAAGGTTGAAACTCCGAAAGAACAATTGGGATTCAGACACCTACGAGTTCGATGAGGTGCTCACTGAATTTGCATCACAGAAGCGTGTCTATGAAGTTGTTGCAAAGCCAGTTGTGGAGGTCTGTTCCATTGATTTTTATTTATGAAGCCAATGTTTTATTTATTATTAATTTTCTGAATTTGGTGGAGGGGTTTAGCATTGAGCCTTCAAAATTATTTTTGCACGTCATTTTCTTTATGTGATTCCTTGGTAGCCTTGAAGGTAGGAGGGGAGATGCAAGGTCAGGAGCTTACAGATTTCGGGGGAGAAAAGTCAGAGGTAGGGGGTTCTTCTAAAGATAGGTTTTCTGAGTTGGCATCAATAGTGGACTCAATCAATGGCAGAACTTGCTTATAAAGGTTTCCTAGACATAAAAGGGATGTTGCTTGAAAGAGGACTGGTTTCCCCAGAGAAGGGGAAGGATTTAAGGGAGGACAAGGAGAGCTGTAGTTGGGTTTAATGGCGAATTGCATGCCTCCTGTACTTGTCAAAATATCTTGACAACACTTTAGAGGAGCTCTTTCAAGGTGCAAGGAGGACGGCTTTAGCTCGGGAGATGAATAGTAATGGGGGCTTCAGCAAATCTTTTGGAGTTCTTAGTGAGGGGTTTGAGAATGAACTATGAGGTTATTTTTGGAAAGATTGTGGGAATAAAGAAGAGTGAAGGGCTGAAGAACAGTGAATTGAAGAAACTGTATAGTTTAATTAATTATGAAGGAATAGGAGGAAAAAGGATAGGGAGCTCTTCCTGTCATTTTGGGAAAACGTCTTTGAGGGTTGATTTTGTACGTTTTCTTGTAGCCTTGATGCTTCAGGTTCTGAGGTGGAGTTTTTGAGGTATCTGCAGCATTGAGCTTTTCTGGTCCCTTTCCTTTTAGCTTTTTTCTATTTCTAGTTTTTAGCAATTGCTTTATGATTATTGGTTTAGCCATTAGGATAATTGTTTTATTTTTTATTTTATTTTTCTGTTGTTTTCCTTTTTTGTCCCTTATGTACGATCCTCCCGGCACCTCCTTTTGATTTGTTTATATGTTTCAACAAATAGTTTAACAAATGCTAAAGCTGAAATTAGTCAAAAACTTTAAAGTAGTGAATCTGTCTAACAGAAAGCAAGTGCCCCTCATTTGGTTGCCGTATATGGATGTTTGCACGCAGGGAGACAAGCTGGCTTGATGTTGTTGGAATTGCATGGCTACAAGATAAATAGGCAACTTATATTAGAACTAATTTTTATTTTTATTTTTATTTTCTTTTGAGTTTGCTGCACAAACTTTGCATTAAATATTAGAAGTTGTGTGGCATTCACAGAGGATGATATTTACATAATTGGATTAGTTATGATGGATTTATAATCACACCAAAAGAGAAACATCCAAGGGAATTGTGATTATAGTTTCTTTCATGGATTTAATATCCTGAAATTAGTATAAAGGGCCTTTTTACGTCAAATAACAAAACCAAATTTGAAAAGTTGAAGTGATTGCATTTGTGAATAGAGCTTAACAATAAGCTATGGCTTCTATCTTTAAGGGACCTGAAGTTGTGAAAATTATGATCATTTTAGGTTTTGAAAAAAGGTCTTGTCTTATTTATGTGGATTTGAAATCATATTCTTAGTTTTTGTTTGAAATCAGTTGAATTTGGAGAACTAGTGATTTTTTCGGTCACAGTTGAAGTTTATTGATTTTTAAGTCGTTCCTGGAAACTGTGACGTTGTTTAATATGATCTTGTTACACTTTTGCTTGGTGATGGAAAAAATTGATGTGCAGGTGCTATTTTTGTAACACAAATTTATTTGTATCTTCACACTTCAAAGTTTTTCTTGCTTCACCACTGTTATATTACTATGTAAGTTAGAAACTCTTTAGAAACTTCTTCTAATCTTCTTGCATTCATTCACATTCAATTCTCTGTGACAGTATGACTTCAACTTCAGCTCATATGTTCATCTTATGTTGTGTTTTGGGAACAATCATTGATGTGTATTTTGTTTCTGCAGAGTGTCTTGGATGGTTACAATGGGACAGTGATGGCTTATGGTCAGACCGGTACGGGAAAGACTTTTACTCTTGGACGGCTAGGCGATGAAGACACTTCTGCTCGTGGTATCATGGTTCGTTCAATGGAGGATATTCTAGCAGATCTCTCTCCAGAGACTGATACTATCTCTGTCTCCTATTTGCAGGTTGTTATTTCTTTGCCACTTAATTGCATTATTATACTAATTATAATAAATTTTATTCATCAAAATTTAAGCTTTTAGAATCCATCTTATTCAAGTTCATCTTGTTGAAACTCTCTATATAATGGAGGTACATCCTCTCAATTTGTCTAATATTCCTGTTCTCAAACAATATGCTCAGCTCTACATGGAGACAATCCAGGATCTCTTGAATCCTGCAAATGATAATATTCCCATTGTTGAAGATCCCAAAACTGGTGATGTATCTTTGCCAGGAGCAACCCATGTAGAAGTCCGGGATCAACACAGTTTTGTTGAGCTACTACGACTAGGGGAAGCTCATCGATTTGCTGCTAACACAAAGCTAAACACTGAATCTTCGCGTAGTCATGCCATTCTAATGGTGAATGAATTACCTATATATTTTATTATTTTTCACATGCCTATGCTTTGAGGTTTCATATTATTTTTTTGTTAATTGTTTAGTTATATATTACTTAGATGGGATAGATTGATTTGACTTGACTCAGGTACAAATTAAGAGGTCTGTCTTGGGTAGAGAAACTTCTTTCCAAAGTGAGAATGGTAATTTCTCTCACTCGGTCAATACTGCTAAACCACCTGTTATTCGGAAAGGCAAGCTTGTTGTTGTAGATCTTGCTGGTTCTGAGCGTATTCACAAGTCAGGTGCGCACCACATCTTTTGGAATCTTGCTAGTCATAATCTACTAATATGTGTATTACTTTCTTAATATAGTATTATTTTATTTTATTTTTATTTTTATTTTGCTGTTGATTTTCTAGAAAAGGCATGTTGTGGGTATATGCACCTGCACCTGCATGTGGTTTACATGAGGAACATATTTTAGTATTTAGTTTTGGAAGTGAATGTTTGTCACTCATTCCTAAAATGATCATAATGTCTCATAACTCATTTATTTTGTGCCAATATGAGATGAATTTCTTTGATAAATTTTCACGAAGTGGAGAAAAAACCATAAAATAAAGCATAAATTTTATCTACCAACAATACAAAGAAAGCATAAATTTTGTTTAAATGTTTAATTATTGTGATGAACTTTTGAGTAGGTGATATCAGAGGAAGAGAAGGGGCCCTACAAGGGGATGGGGTGAGGATTTGGAATTTTGAAGCCGTTGAAGACCTATTAGTGTAACCCTATATGTGGGCAATTGACGAACTTGAGTTGGACATGTTAATCATCGACTTTTGATGTATAGAAGAAGAACAGGCTCTTTTGATAGTATAGGAATGTTTCCTACTTCTCACATGGAGAGACAGAAACAAAACCATTTTTTTTCCCCACCACATCGCTTTTAATTTAAATTCTAACAAATATCTTTATACACCAACAAAATCAGATGCTGCATTATTACATAACATATAACTCATTTAAAAAGGTAGGACAGGGACGTGTCTATGTAACCGTACTATTTTATTGGACACATTTTAAGTCATGTGACCCATGTCCACATCCTTTGAGATTTGAGGTTCAGGAAGGTCCGACACCTAGACACACACTTACACCTAATTCAGGTATTTGAGTCCATTTAACATAAGTTATAACCTAAAAAGTAAGGCTATTTATAAAAGAGGGTCTTCTGTGTTTTATTTCGAAGTGTTCTAGAGGATTCTCTTTCTCCCATCCAATAAATTCCAATCTAGACTTCTAACCACTCTAGTGCAGAAGTTTCTTCTAACCTTTGCTGAAAGGTTTTTACTAATTTCGATTATTTCATTATTGGAGTCCTGCTTTGTCAGTTTTACACTCGTTTTGGAGGGAATGTGCCAACTGGAAAGCTATAATATACAGGTCTTCCCTTGCTCTTAGGGATGGGATCATAAAACACTTGTCCACCTGAACCTTTGTCAATCCTTATTAAAAAATGTTTGGACACTTATTAGATATTTCAACTTTATTTGCCCTTAAATGTATAGAAGTGCATTTATTTCAGAAACTCATATTCATCAAATTTTCCACATGAACACTCATATTCAAACATTAAAAAAACATTTTTTTTTTGAAAAAAACATTCGGGATTATCTATTTATATATTTATGATCGTCATGCTGTGTCTAGATTTTTGCAAGTTACCGTGTCAAACATCTGGTCTATGTTAGAACTTGAGAAAGTGTATGTCTGTGTAGTGTATATGCTAGATGTTTACATTTACTTTCTTAATTTTATATAAAATTTTGTTATACAATCACCTAGGTAGCAATTATAGGACAAGGGAAACAGTACCATGATTTCAAATCTGACAAGACATGAGCAGTATATGTAATTGGTAACTCTATTTTTTTTTTTGGGTACTAAATATATCTGCATTCTGCTAATTGATGAACCAAAGAATAGTTTTCTTTACTGTACAATCAAAAGAAAGTTGTGGCTGTGATTGCGAATCCTAAAAATGTTTCAGCTGAAATATTCAATCATCTTAATTTTTCAGTTAGTGGTGCAAAAGGCATTATGTGGTTTTTGATTACTATGTATTATCATAGTTTTTCTCCTTGTGTTTTAAAATTTAAATCCATCAGCAATATGAAAAGTTTATTTCTTCCTTTTCTGCAGGAAGTGAGGGACATATGTTAGAGGAAGCCAAGTCTATCAATCTCTCATTAAGTGCCTTAGGGAAGTGCATAAATGCTCTGGCAGAAAATAGTGCTCATGTGCCCGTTCGAGATTCCAAGCTCACGAGGTTGCTTAAGGATTCATTTGGAGGTGAGTATTTTTAAGTCCTGTCCCATATGGGTGTCTAGTTTTTCATTTTAATTTGTCTAAAACACGTGTCCGCTATCTAAAAGTCAAAAGAAAATTTTTCCATTCCCTGAATAACTGGTGGTATGTGTGTGTATTACCTATCAAAGAAAATATGTAATTGTCAAAAATAAAATTGACTGCTTTTTGACAATTTTTTTGAAAAAAAGTGCTTAACAAAAGTGCAAAACAAAATTCGACTATCCCTCAATGCAAAATAAATTACTTTTGCAGAAAATTTCCATTCTTCACTTACGACAGGGGAACTTCTGAAGGGGAATACCATAAAGTGATGTGTGAATGCTTTAGTTGTCTTTTCTTAAAACTTGAGCTTTTTCATAGGAAGTCACTCATTTTCGGATGGATTAAATAGTTAATTTATGCTTAGGCTTTGACTTGATGAAAGCAATTAATGAGTGACAGTATGTATAATCGATATATAGATTTAATAATTTGGCTTACCTTCTTCTATAAATAGCTTAATATACTCTATGTTCTCTTACATGGATGCCAGTCTTTTTATTTTTTATTTTTCCAAATAAATTTTCTTTGGCATATTTTTGACACTGGAGATGGATGGTGTCATTATTGTTTGACATTTTTATTTATTTTTGGCTGTACTTGTTATTGTTTTGCAGGTACAGCGAGAACTTCATTAATTGTGACTATTGGCCCATCTCCACGACATCGAGCAGAGACTGCAAGTACCATATTGTTTGGTCAACGGGTGAGTTATCAGCTTTAGGACGTCTTAGATTCAAAGCAAAAAGTATTGACTCTGTATGCAACACACGCATCCTGTACATTTCTCCCTATAAGGCCCTGTACTTTTTCAGACACAGTAGTATCTGTACATACTTTCAGATAGTCCTCAATGCAGCTTAAGTCTATTTCACACTATTTTATGCAATCTCTATTGTTATTACATTTTTTATTTGTATATACTCAGAATGGTTCAGATATATCCATAGGAAACTATATTGATTATCATTTCCTATCTTTCACAGGCAATGAAGGTGGAAAATATGTTGAAAATTAAGGAGGAATTTGATTACAAGAGTTTGTCTAGAAGGCTTGAGATACAGCTTGACAAACTCATTGCGGAAAATGAAAGGCAGCAGAAAGCTTTTGAGGATGAAGTTGAAAGAATAGCTTTAGAAGCACAGAATCGTATCTTTGAGGCTGAAAGAAACTATGCAAATGCATTGGAGGTCAGTTCAAGTGGTTATTTCTTGCCTTTATGGCAATAAACAAATGTACTTTTTCCACATTAATTTTTAAATGCTATGATTTTTCATCACCAACTCGTTATAGTAGTTGATCTTCATACATAGTTGGACCTGAGGATGTTCTTGTGGTGATCACACTCTTCTATATTTTCATTTGCTCTATTATTTTATCCAAGAATTATCATGCTTGGTTTAGTGTTTCTTGTCAACTTCTTTTGCTTATTTCACTTTTAAATTTCATTTTTCTTTGTAGAGGGAAAGAATGCAATGTCAGATGGATTACATGGAATCAATTAAGAAGCTTGAGGAAAAGTGGGTATGCAGCAATCAACAAAAGCATGGCAATAATGGCTTCATTGATGGGAAATGTAATGGAGAGGTACCCAATTGTGGAACTCTATCTTCTCTTACGTGCCGAGTGTCTTAAAATGATCAGCGCGTTTCAAATTGACAACACTATGTTGACATGTCTTAGCCTCTGTTGTGAAACATGTCTACACATAATATTAATTCTAATTTGAGCAAAGGAATCTGTATATGATGTAGTCCTATTTGGCGCCCCACATTTTCATTGTCATGTGATTTATGATGATGCTTCATGATAGGCATTATACTCTGTAATGTACTTTTATTTTTTTCGAGTACTGATAACTTTTATCTGCATCTATAGATATATTCAGAGAAACACTAATAAATGCATGAATATGCATGTCCAAGAATGCACATAAGAATTTTAAAGCATCGACTTCTGTCTAGATTTTTCTGGAGTTTGCAATCTGGAGTTTGCTCTTCCTAGATGTATGCCCAAGAATGTCTTTTAAATTTGTCTGATAAGGGTTTGAAGAGCTTTTGTCATTCAAGTAAAAGGAAAGTCGACACCCATACTAGAAACTTGAACCTTCTTTTTTCTTTTTCCTTTTTTTTCACCAGTAAGTACTTGAACACTGTTTTCCGAATTAGGACAGCTGAAATTAGATTCTTAGTATAAATAGGAAATTCGATAAACATTACTCATAAATCTGGAAATTAAGTGAGCTGTTGAAAGGGCTGCTCAACATTAAGAAATAATGAACAAATTACTGCCAGGGCTACCAAAGGTAAACAAATGCAACATAATAAGACATTGTTCCGTCTCTGCAGGTTTTCTAACTAATTCTGCAGGTTTTCTAGTTTTCATTCTTCATCTTGCCATATGAATTGATTGCAAGTTATGATAGAAGAGCATCTGAGTCAACCTTGTCTCGTAATAATTACGAGCAAATTGCACAACTTTTGAAACAAATAACTAAATTAGATGGCCCATTGCACGACAATGAATACTATGTAGTCATGATGGCCTGATGGGGTTATGCTGAATGTTTTGGCATCAATAGTTCTTCTAGTTGCTATATTACACTCATCATATTTGATTTCTAAAATTACCCATAAGAACATTAAATCCACCCAAACTATTACTTGTTTGTTTGTTTGTTTCTTTGTTCTAAAATGATCACGGCCTTTTCTTTTAATGCAGGGGCTTGTGGCCTCTACTAGTGAGGAAGTTTCTGAGATCAAAAAGTTGCTTCAGAATGAAATGCATATGAGAAAGGCGGCTGAAGAGGAGATGAATAGTCTTAAGAATCAACTAGTTCAATTTACAAAGTCGGAGGTATGGTTTCACTTGAGGTACAGAATATGTATCAGCATTATGCGTTTTCTTTAAAATTTTGAAGTATAGGATTTGTGATATATAACAGATTATCATGATACATAGGCAGGTGGAAATGGAGATATTTCAAAGCTTGGTAGAATGCTCGAAGATGAGATTCATCAAAAAAAGAAACTTGAAGAGGAAATAATGATATTACGAAATCAGCTATTGCAATTGACTTTTGAAGCTGATCAGGTACTGTCTTTTGTAGAAGCAAAACTTTCTCATTATTCTTAGGTAAAAATTGTCTATATTATTTATATATTTGATGTCGTGGAGTACTCAGCTTCTAGTCGTCTGGATTTCTAATTGTTGGCAAATCATAGTAGTAGTTGTATTATAGCTGGCAGCTTTCACAACAGTCTTGTTCATGGGAAAATCAATGTACCACATGATGATTACCAGTAAGTCATATGGGTTAACTTAAAGTGTAACTGGGTAGAAACTTTAGGAAAATAGAGGAAAGAGCTCCTTATGACTTCCCAGATTTTGTTTCCTTATTTATAAACCTCATCAACCAAAGAAGCATGGGCACTTCTACAATAGTGACTTATATGGATACATGATGGACATAGACACTTTGGGGACACACTTATATACTTATTTCACATCACGTGGATGTCTCCATAATCCAAAAACGAAGTTTCATTTCTATAGCCCACACATATGAGATACTGCCCGATACATGACTTGCACAATACAAACATGTTGATAAATGTTTGACACTCTTGAAACAAGATACCTTTTAGTTTATATAATATAATTTTCAAGTTTCTTACTCCCTATTACTCGATCCATAGTATTAAATTGAGAAATTTATTAAAATTATGTATATATTTTACAAAAAATTTCATTTCTTGCCAAGTCCTTAGACTTTAGTCCTCATGTGTATCTGTCTCCACTTTTTAAAGATTTCCCATGTTGTGTAGCTGTGTTATCCGTGTTTATGCCATTTAGTTGTAAACGGACTGGGGGGAGGACATCCATCTCCACGTTTCTTTAGCACAAGTTAAAATCTTAGTTACTATTTATCAGTCAATGGACATGAATTGAAGCATTTGCATCCATGCTTAGTCCCCCAGACACATGCACACACATGAATGTGTATTTTAAACCCTGACTTCTGTTTTATGTTCATAGACTAGAAGGTATCTTGACAGAGGAGGGGCTGGGAATGTCTCTGCTGCTTTAGATTCTCTTTCTCAAGCTAGACATTTACAGATCAAAGATGTCGGTAATGGTCAGAGAACATCAATTGCCAATCTCCACGAACAAGGTACCTTTGAAGCTTGCACTACACTGGCTCATTTGAACCCCTGTTTGAACTGTATGTTCTTATAGCTTTTTTTGCATCTATTCTATTTACAGTTGGATTGCAAAAGATATTGTCATTGCTAGAGTCAGAAGATGCTAATGTAAGGATTCATGCTGTAAAAGTGGTGGCGAACCTCGCAGCTGAAGGTGCTGAATTTATTTCTTCTTTCTTGAGACGTTGTTATCAGATATCTTCTATGCCGTTTGTCTGCTTCATGGTGCACGGAAAACAAACTGCAGATCATCTTGATATGCTTTTGATTATGTTATTTTAGGAATTATTTTTGAGAGAATCACTTGACCTACAACTTATTATCATTTTTGTTGCTGAAGTACTCCACTTAAGCACTTAAGGTGTCCAAAGATAATGATACCATAGGGTAGCAGCTCTTTTTTTTTTTTTTTTTTTCCTTTCTTCTTCTTCTTCTTCTAGTGATAGAATTTTACCAGGATAGACATAATTTCAAGTAAGAAGTTCTTTTGAGACAAAGAAGGTTCTGTTTCCTTTTTTATCACTATAACGGTTGCTTTATCAAGCAAAGGCTCCATCCTTTAATGGGGTGGTCAAAACAATATTTTTCATCTTTTATCGAAATCAGAGTTGTGCTTATATGATTTAGAATTTATTTAAGTTAGTACAATACGTCTATATTAAAATTATATATTTTAATGAATTTAATGCATTTAACATCTACTGTGCAGAAGCAAATCAGGAGAGGATTGTTGAAGCTGGGGGTCTCACTTCCTTGCTGATGCTTCTTAGAAGCTTTGAGGATGAAACCATTCGCAGAGTAGCAGCTGGTGCAATTGCCAATCTTGCAATGAATGGTAAGTGTTTATACTCTTCTTCTTTTTATTTTTTTCATTCTTGTAGAGCACAGGTTCTATAAAGATCTGGTGCTTCCAATATATCATTTTTTCATGATAACTGCTTTCTTGGTCCATGCAGAAGCCAATCAGGAACTTATAATGGTTGAAGGAGGAATTGGTCTGTTGGCGGTGACAGCAGCCGATGCTGATGATCCTCAGACTTTACGGATGGTTGCTGGAGCTATTGCTAACCTTTGTGGCAATGGTATACTGCATGATGCCTTTTAGCATCATCTCTTTTTGTAAATGTACTTTATTTTATTTTTAATCTTTTTGTGATTATGTTATTAGCTTATGAGAAGGTTCCCCTTACTGAATTAAAGAGATGCACAGGTTCTTGTACAGAACAAAATGGGAAAAAGTTGCTAACTGAACACCTTGATAACAATTCTCAATTATTAACAAGTTTTCATAAAAGAAATTGCTCATTTGGTTACTTTTCACAGAATCTCCGTACTGGTTAAGATCTACGTTTACACTCTGATTATATTTTCCGTGTGCAATATGATAGATTCGCCTTTTTAAAACTGATCTTACTGGTACATCCACCCATCTGTAAGCTTATTTATGATTTATATCACATGAGACTCATAAATTCTAGCTGACCAAAAATAATTTAGCTGTAGTATTGTAAACGAGATTTTATTGAATGCTTAATTTTATTAAGATGAGGATCAATGCATAAAAGCACAAGACAATTTGTTGGGATATGTTCGGATGGCCCATTTGATATCTTTGGCCCAGTTTATCCAGCTTTAGTGGAACACCAATCGTAGGACTTGAGCCAAGTTGAGTTTTAGTCTTTGTAGTACTCAATTTGAAGTTGTTTCAATCTAAATCCTGATTTATTCTCGCATTTGTATTATTTACAGATAAGCTACAGACGAGGCTTAGGTCTGAAGGTGGTATTAAGGCATTGCTAGGAATGGTGAGATGTAGGCATCCAGATGTTCTTTCCCAAGTTGCACGAGGAATTGCAAATTTTGCAAAATGTGAGTCCCGATCAGCTTCACAAGGTAAGTGCCTTAGATAGAGTCTCATAGAATGCTTGTCAATATTGTTGTATTGATTCAACTCTTGAAATAACAATTATGTATTATATGTCTTAACACATCATATCATCTGGCAAAATGAATTATGCAGTTATTAAGCCTAGCATAATAGTAGAAAAAGGAAAATTAAGTTAGAAGTTCTCCTTGCACATTGGTGTAATGAAATACTTGTGTGCTGCAGGAAACAAAACAGGAAGATCTCTCTTGATAGAAGATGGTGCACTTCCGTGGATCGTACAAAATGCTAACAATGAGGCATCACTAATTAGGCGCCACATTGAGCTAGCACTCTGCCACTTGGCACAGCATGGTAAATGGGCGTATTTATGCATATTAAGAAGCCTAATTCTCCCAAACACATTAGATTTAGAAATCTTCTGTTTTTTTTTTTTTTTTTGTTTTTTTTATTTTATTTTATTTCTTTATGTTTATGATTTTCAGAAGTGAATGCAAAAGACATGATTAGTGGAGGAGCCCTTTGGGAACTAGTTCGTATCTCACGTGACTGTTCTCGAGACGACATAAGGACTCTTGCACAACGTACTCTTACTTCAAGTTCGACCTTCCAAGCAGAAATGCGGCGGTTAAGAATAGAACTATAACTACTGCTGCAATGGGACGGTCACCTGCAGGCCAAGGTAATGAGAGGGTACTCTACATGGCCCTTGGACAAGGTCAGTTCTTTGATATATCTTATAGTTCTGAAAAATACAGTTCTAATTTAAATAGACGGGGCTTGGCCTTTGTCCTCGTTTTCTAGCTAAGCATCAGTCGACCACTTGTATTTTCATTTTCATGGCGACCCATTCCGGTAGAGCTGCTTCAGTATTGTAGTTTTTGTATAAATTGATTTGTTCAATCAATGAAATGGTCATATTCCTCTTTTGTGGAATAAACTACGACTCCGAGAATGATTCGATCTATATATATATATTCATAAAAACATGTCCTAGTATTGAGCTGTTTTTCTCAAGGGGGTGAATTGACAAGCCATTGATTTGAAGGAAAAAAATGCCACGTGTCAATATTAATTAAATAAATTCATCTTTCGAAGATTTAATTGATGTATGATTGAATGGGAAGGCATGGCTTAATTAATTGTCAGTTGGCTTGAATTGATGGTGGCAACGACTTTCAGATGACATTTGATTCATCAAAACAATGAAAACAAATGATGAAGCCATATTTGTTTTCATGTATATCTTCCGACTTGTTCCATTGGCACTTTGTCTCCGTCCAAGAGTTTTAGGACCCTAACAACTTTTGTTTTGGTTTTTTGATTTCCAAACATAGTACCAATACATCGGACAAAAGATAGGGGACCCATGCCCTTACCAGTGTTTCACGAGAGAGAGAGAGAGAGACTTATGTATGTTTATGGTCCTACGGATGCATGTAATATAGATACTTGTTGTGTAAGAAGTTTCATGCCAAAGAATGGAAATGCAAGAGAAGGAAACAAGTGTAAACTAGTGACGTGGGGTTTACGGGAAAAAGGATACTGACGTGGAGTTTACGGGAAAAAGGATACTGACGTGGAGTTTACGGAAAAAAGGATACACATGTGGAGGTAAAGTTGTATACATCTAACCCTAACTCCCCCGCAATTGTTATTTATATGCATATTCATGCATCAATAAGAACTTTGGAGACCTTAGATCTGTGATTAGCTCGAAATCAGCGCATATATACACACGCATGAGAGATGCTGAGAAAACTCCCGCAATTGTTATTTATATACACATTCATGCATCAATAAGAACTTTGGAGACCTTAGATCTGTGATTAGCTCGAAATCAGCGCATGTATATACACACACATGAGAGATGCTGAGAATGATTGAACCTATATAGATATAATTGAAACTTAATTCCGCTAATTGTCATTTAGATGCTGATGGTGATTTATACAAACTATAGTTACATTAAACACTTCTCACCAAATATATTTTTAGCTTCATAACCAAGGACTCGAGAACTTCAACTCGCTAAACCTGTCATCATTGATCTAAATTCTTCAAAATCCACAAACCCATCGCCATTTTTATCAACCCCACCTATCATCTTGCGACACTCTCCAAGGTCACAATTATCACATCCAAGGCGAATCAGAACTTGCTGCAACTCTTCAGCTGATATGAATCCATTCTTGTCCGAATCAAAAATGAGAAAAGCATCCATGAGATGATGATCACCACCAGGCCCAGACCCTTCTTCGCTACCCTTGTTCAAGACAACATTCATGAATTCATCAATGTCCACGAACCCATCTCCGTTACAATCCATCTCTCTCACCATTCCTTCCGCTTCCTTGGTGGCGGTGGACCTCTCATGGCCGAGGCTCAAGAGCACTTCACTGAGCTCTAAGGGAGACAACTTTCCATCCCCATTTGCATCGATGAATTTGAACACTTGTTTCAACTGGTTAGAGACCTCCATGGCTGCAAAAGACGATGATAACCAATTCAAATCAGAAAACATGCTCTTGGGTTTTCTTTTTTCGCACCTCTCATCTCCTTTCAAGACATTGAATTGTTGTTGAAGAAACTTCCTAGTGAACTTATGCATTGACCTAAAGCAAGTTTTACAAGAATCAAGCATGGTTTGATGAGAGAGAGAGAGGCACAGGAAGAAGTGGCAATGGAGATGATAGCTATAATGAAGAGATGGATATATGATTAGGTCAATTTCTTCGTCAAATGAAAAAGTAGTAGTCTTTTGTGATAATTTCAAGGGCTGTGATTTGAAACAAACTTTGTCATCTTTTAATAATTCCACGGCTACAAGGGCCTACAGAGACCGAGCACTCTCTTGGATTCTTTTCAACCCTTCTATATCCAGAATTCCTCATTTTACAGTACTTTGTTAAATATAATAATACATATGTGCGTGTATGTGAGTGTGAGTGTGTGTGTGCATATATTAATATATATATAGAGAGAGTGGTACTCGGTTTAGACAGTCATCCAAGGTGGTGAGGTATTGTGTTGCTGTTGTTCTTTTTGTGTTGTTTGTTTTCTTTGGGTTGCTGTTGTAAAAATAAAAAATAAAATAAAATAAAATCCAAGGTGGTGCTGATCAAGTCTTGTAAATTGGATGCCGGAAGAGTTAAATTAGAACTGCCGGCATTTCATTTTCAACTCCAATTTTATTTTTTATTTTTCCTTTTTTCTAAATATATATATATATATATATATATATATGCATGTTGTCAATAGCGGACCCAGAAATATAATCTGGGGCCTAATATATTCTGGGGTGGTATGAATTCCAATTCAAATAAACTCCTTGGATAAATTTTATGAAACTGGGGTGCTGATCCAAACAGTTTATTCATGAATTCTAAAATTTATCCAAACAGTTTATTTGAAATTTATCCAAACAATTTATCCCAAAAAATAGTAATACCAGTGTTTTTTTTTTTTTTTTTTTTTTTTTTTTTTGGGACTGGGTTAAAATTAACTATAATAATTTTTTTGGGGGCGCCCAAGCCCCCGCCCTTGCTGATGTTGTGGTCTCCGCAAGTGAAGGAGTCATTGTTTGACTGAGTTATATATATATATATATATTCGTAGATTTGGTGTTCTTTCACTTATAATTATTTTTTTTAACAATGGAGAAGCACTGGGAAAAACCTATATCTCCCCTACTTACAAATAATACTATTTAACTGCAATGATGGGAAATTTGTTCCTTTAGGTCTAAAGCAAAGAAAATTTTGATCTGTAGATGCAGCAAGAGCATATGTGATGATCTAAGTGAGATCTCTTTCAATAACAATAAACATAAATTTACACACTGGTTATGTGAAATTGGATTGAAATTGTACTGGGATTGCAATTTCATAATATTACAATTTTACCAATCCAATTTCAAATAAACTGTTTGGATAAATTTTAGAATTAAAATGTAATTGAATTCCAATTCCAATTTTATTGTTTGGATAACAACATTGATTTGAAATTGAATTAAACAAAATAATTAAAATTAAATTTTGATGATCACCTTCATCCAATTTTATCAACTATATTAGAATTTTTATTCAGCAAATAAGATTGAATAGTCACACTCTAAAATATGCATTTAAAATTATCACAGCATGTAGTTATAAATATATATTTTTTGTATATTGCCTCCAAAATTTTAATAACTTTTTTTTTCATTTTTTTTCTTTTTTTGTACAAATTAAGTAATTAAGTAAATTGGTGTATGAATGATTGAAGCAGAATGAAAAAAATGTTGCCCTATATGTTTTCAAATTAACATCATCTATTATTCAGCGTGAAAAAAAAATTCAAATGTTCCGGAAAACATTTTCTATTATTCAGTGAGAAAAAAAATAAAATAAAAAATCAGCGTCTAACAGACAAAAAAAAAAAAAAAAAAGAAATAGATAGGCTGCCAGGACCACATGACCCACATTACCTTTTCTATTATTCAGTGAGAAAAAAATAAAAATAAAACAAAGCTCCAAAAAAAATAAAAAATCAGCGTTTAAACAAAATTAAAAACGGCTGCCTGGACCACATTACCCATATTACCTTTCTTCTTGTACATACATACGTCCCACTCAGAACACTTACGCCATTACCCTTCTTTTATTTATTTTTTTCGTACATGCGAAAACGAGATGGACCTAATTCTTTCTTCAAACTTATCTATAAGTTTATCTCTTTTCTCATATTTTTTAATGTAAAATAATCATGTACATATATATATACACAAATATATAAACACCGGTGGCAACGTAACAATTCCCAAACTCACATGCCGCATATTACCACAAAGTTAACGGCTATTTAATAGTGTATTAGGGAATAAAGACAGGATACAAAAATGCCATTTTATCATAAATAAAATAAAAGGATAAAACGGGTGGGTCAAAAATCACTTCAACCGAGATAGGCAAATATAACCAACAAAACATAAACAATGATAAAAAAATGGAGCACTTTATCAAACCCTAGAACAGCAACGAACAGTGAGTGATGTCCAAGTTTATACATATAATAATCCATTTACCAAGTATAAATGTTTTTCTAGAAGACAGTAATACATAAATCATATTCACCCAATAAAGTAGCCATTAATAAGAGTGGGACATGATATAAAGCTTATCCCTTCATCAATCATTAAACTATTGGGACCGTCTTATCATCAACACTAATTACGTGAAAAAACATCATCCTTGTTTGGAGACCATAGTCCAAGACATGGAAATTGAATTTTGACATTCTGATAGCCCACCACCTGCAAAAGTGTACTGCACAACCCACAGAGAGTTCAAAAAAAAAAAAAAAAAAAAAAAAAAAAACTGATTTTAATGCTTAAATGATCTGTTCTCTGTACATAAAGTTATTGTTTTGAAACTCACTCACGAAAACAAACACCAAATTGACATACAACATCAAAATTCCTACCACCATCTATGGATTTTTCTAAAAAAATTAAAAGAAAAACAAGGCTAACTTGTTATACATTATCAGACTATATTATTCTATAAAAGTGAAGAAGAAAATGGAAAATGCAAAACCTGGATAAAAATATCGTACATCTAAAACTGTGAGGTCAGCGATTGCCAAGATCAACACGATCGAAGTAAAATGGGACCAACGGATGAGCTGAGCATCTCACTGAGTGCCACCTGAACCTCACTTGACCCGTGCTCACAACTTACCAAGCTCGATAGTAGGGGGAAGAAGCGAGCCAAGTTCCTTTTGAGTGACAGACCTTCTAAAGCACATAAAGCCTCGAGAGTTGTCACAATAAGAGGTGCACGTGCAGCCAACTCTCTTCGTTTCCCAGAACCTAAAGGAATTAGCCAATGGGCCTGCCCACCAAGAGATGACTCGGAAGTGTGTCCGTGTCCGGCGCATGAAATTTCAATATAGAATTGTAGCACCTCCTGACAAAGGTCAACAAGGTAAGACTCCACTTTGGTCTCTTCATAACTTGGAGGCCTATCCAGTGTGAGATTCTGTAAAAATGTGAGGCAAATTTGATAAGACTCGTTCTCAAGGCGTAACAATGGAGGGTCCTGCATTTGAGTCATGGTGCCAAGCTCTTGTAGCTTTACGCGAAGAGTAGAATTACTATTTATCTCATGAGCATGAAATGCCACAGCATGAACAGCATCAAAGAGGACTAAGGTGTTTTTCACTGAAAGTTGAGCTCTGTACATGTTGTAGATATCCATCACCGCCTGCCAAATTTAATAAGAAAAAGCTCATTTCCAATCTTTTGAAAAGCTGAAGTGGTAGCATAAATCACACTGGAGTATGCATTAAAACTAAGATTTAATGTCGTAAATTTTCTCTAATTTTCCTGACAAGATGTTTGCTTCTAATAACTTTTATTTTTTCCATTACTCCTTTTTTATAGGTTCTGTGTTTCACATGCACACATTTTAGAGGCAAAGAACACAATACAAATATGTTTCAGCAAGATGATTATCCTTTAATAATTAAAAGTGTATCCCACTCTCCATTAAGAAGTTATTTGGACAATAATACACCCTACATTTACATACTAAGAACGATTATTATAAGCAATATTGCATTATTCTAAAGCCAATGTAAAACATGATCTGAAAGCTAGGTTAAAAAAAAAAAAGACAAGAAAAGCCTCAACTTTTTCCATATACTAAGTTCCTGAAAAATGTTCACAGATAAACTGAACCAGACAGGTATTTTTTCTGCCCATTTGTGTCCTATTTTTGGTTGAATACGCGGATGAAGATTGTTTTTGAAGTTCAAGAGTGACTCAATCATCACTTGGGAAAACGTAAATTGAGTAGATTTTGAAAAATAGTTTCAAAAGTTGTTAAAATGTTTTTGAAATGGTGGGACGGAAAAAAGTTAATCAAGTTTTGAGTGCTTTCTACTGAAACAGCATGTTTAACACCAGTATACAAAATTGAACATTGGTATTCAACTTTAAAAGGGAGTTGAGCATCAGTAGTCATATATAAACACTAACATGCAGGCAGAAAATGAAGTTGAGCATAGTAATCTACGACAGCATATCAAAAGAAATAAGAATTCTAGTTTCCGAAGTCTGTCACAATTGGTTTCTAACTTATCTCAAACTTCTATCATCTTTCCTGATTAGAATTAAGGTGTGACACTCTTATATAAACATCTCACATAATAAACATCTATGTATTGTTAAGAAATTCATGCACCCACTTTGCCCCTATAGGGAATTGAACCCTCGACCTTCTACTTTAAAAGGTGAGGAAGTGCCACTAGGCTAGAGGCGTTGGTGTTACTGTCCCATGACTTCTCCCATTTGTTTTTTAACGTCAAAATGATCTCTATACTTGTTTATTTAAATTTGATTATGTGTTTGATTTGCTTTAGAATTGGAACTCCACCTCACCACACCCCCCCCACCCCCGCGCCGATGTTTGTTTCACAAAAGAGAATCAAGTTGGTCATTCTGCTGCAGAACTCTCAAAATCCATGACTTCAAAAGCCTCAAAATGAAGAGGTGTCCTCACACCCCCATAGCTATCTGAGAACACTGCAGCTCCAATACACCATGGTTGTGCCCATCCGCCCGACACCAACTAATCCTCCCGTAACGCCTTCCCACTAGATCCTGCACTAAAACATGCTCCAAAATCCGACTGCAAACCATCCTCAACATTATAGGACAGGGAAGAGACCGAGGGAAACACTATTGTGATATCAATCCTACAAACCACTTGTTTTTCCCACATCAGAAGGATACTTCCCCCTCCAGTCAAATCTATTTAAGTGATCAACTGCTTCCGCAGAAGATCCTTTCTCAAGAAGAATAGTTAATCTGTAGTTACTTTCAAGCCTCTCAATATGATAAGAGTTCTCTTACTAAACTTGACATTATAGACTTACTTCCATAAATGAATGGCTTTATTATACATACACAGTGACTTTGTGAGTGGAAATCTAAAAGCATATAATTTAATAATGCCGACACAAACCATGTCAACCTTATCATTGAACAAATTCCTATATATGGTTGCACATCAAGATACTTCAGAATATCTAAAACCAAAGATATAAAAGTGTCTACCTGAATCAATAAAAGTTGAACAGCAGCTCGGCACTTAGCATCAGAAATAGCAGCATAGAGATTGTGTCCCCTTAAACTCTCTGAATCATCATCGTCCATCCCAGATGCAGAAACCTCTCCATCATTCTCGCTAGTTAAAGTCTCCTCATGGCTTCTAACCATATTATCTCCATTTAAAATATAGGAGAAATCAGGAAGTGTCGTGTTAGCTGCTTCTTTGAGGGATATAACTACTTCCAGCCACTTACTATCAGAAAAAAATTCTCCAGCATTGCTCATCATTCGGACAAATGCAGCAATACCAATACCAGCGAGGCTTTGGTGAGGACGCTTGATAAAACTTACCAATAGCATCAAGACTTTCCCCAACAGAGGATTTACAGTACTGTAAAACTTAACAAAAAGATCTACAACTAGTTGGAGGGCTAATGTGCATGTTTCATAGAGCCATGAGTCTTGATCAAGTTCACCCATATCACTACCAGTTCCCTGCCCAGGCGACTCTCCACCCGAAGGATCAATAGCATGCCGGACATAGTCAAATAATGGAAATAGGACAGATTCAAAGACTCTCTCCCACAAAGGTAGAGAGAAAAGATGGCCATGGTTGCGTAAAGTATCAAAGAGCACTTGCAGGGCACTCTTTCTGATTTCAGGCCTTGGGTCAAAGCTAAGTTCAGATAGTCCTGGACAAGGAAAAGACAAGGCATTATAAAATAACATAAAAAGTATATCCGAGTTTAAAAAAGAAGCCATACATAACATTCCGAAAATATAAACAAGCTTGAATTCTTCTTACCAGCCAACAACGGAAACCAAAAATAGAGATGATCTTCCTTCTCTGCCAACTCCAGGTTGTCATGCTTTTTATCTTTTGCTTCTTGAGGTGAAGACGTAGAGATCTTTCCAGAAGCTTCTTTGTCCTTATTCCTTGAGGAGAAGCCTAAATCACCTTCAGCAAGCTTCACAGCACAGAATCGAAGGAAAGCAATTGCATTGAGACTAGTGTCTTTGTTGAATCTAGTATTAGTGAATGCGATCAGACAATTCACGAAATCAGTGAAGGTGGTGGTTTCAGTCTCTGTAATATATGGGAAATAATCTCGAACAATTTTTTCAATTATTTCAAAGGCCAAGAGTACAATGTTTTTGTGGTCATCATAAGCTGCAGTTGTGAAGACCTGGAAAATGTTTGCAGACAAAAACATCAACAATGTGCTTAGCATGAAGATCAACTGAATTTAATTGATAAATGATATGATACACTAAAACCATGAACATGGTTTCAATCCATCATATTGACATGAGAAGGAAAAAAAAAAAAAAAAAAATATAGAGATTAGACAGATTTTAGTACCATGAACATGCTCTTCCATCCTGACTTGACATTATTAACACGAGATAAGACCATTTGAGCGACACATCTGACGATTAGTTCTCTGATCTCAACGGCATTACTCTTACGCATAACAATTACAAAAGGCTTCATAAACTCATTCTGGAAATTATAATTAGCCAATTCTTCCCTCTCTAAGAATTTCATTGATAATTGGCGCAAAGAATCCATTGCGAAAATTGCAATTGAAAGGTTTTCAGAACATCCAATTGTCACAAAAAAGTCAGAGAGTACATGCCATATGCTTGACCACACAAGCCTGATACGGTTCATGTTATAGTGCCTGTTCAAAAGAGAGAAATCAAATATAAATTTTTGCAATTGTTTGAAAGCAGCATCTGCATACCAACAACAACATGAAATAATCGGTAAGGAATGCTCAAAGGAGTAACAAGATAAAGTAAGGATGATTTGTACGCAATCTCAACTATCTTCATGAGGCTGAAAACCCGTGGATCAGATGTAGACCGCAGCTCTTCCATAGAGACCTTGCAGAGAGCCTTGACAAAGTCGATTATTGCCTCACTGTTTAATTTTTGACTCCATGTGAATATGCGACTCATTTCTGAGCTTCCAACTTGTTCCAACATATTCAAGTTAGAGACTAAGTTGTTCATCTGTTCAGATGTAAGTACCCCAGAAGCATTGACACCAATACCAGCACTATCATATGAACCCCTTCTCACAGCAGCAGCTGCATACTGAATCTTCCCTTGTCCCTTCTTTTTCAGAACAGGAAGGACATTTGACTTGGTTTGTTTCGATTTTTCTAAATCATTCTGAGGAGATGCAAAGAAAGTAGCATCTGGAGGAGCGCCCTCTCCCAGGAGATGCAAATGCTCAAACCGAGATACACATGTCAAAATATGCTCCCAAGCTTCCTGTAAGTAATTTCCATCTTCATCTGCAATTGTAACTATTGCCTGTTGAATAAAGAATGCCAGGTCATAATGCCAGATCCACAAGCAAATGGTCAATTGCTTAGATTGAAGACTTTATAGAAATTATACATTGTAGTCCATTTAAATACCAAAGGTAGTATTTACGTTGTTAATACCGATTACACAGTTTATAGTGACCTATAGATGCACCCGTGAGGAGAGGAAGATTGATTTGCATAGAAGGAAGAGACAAAGAAGCCAACCTAAATTAACATGGAATGACATGATAAGAAATGATTATAAAAAATTACATCTAATAGGAGATATGGCCTATGATAGAAAAGAGTGGAAAAGAGAATCCAGGCTGCTGACCCCATTTGTATGGGATAAAGGCAAGGATGATGATGATACACAGTCTATAGTGAGCAGACCATATGGAAGTGATCCTTTCTTGGTTCTTAATGTCTGGGCACATTATTCCACTTACCATATTTTTTTTTTGATAAGTAAGAATTTATTAAAAACGCTCAAAAAGGGGAGCGGAAACCAAAGATACAAAACATAAGGCTAAAGGGCACCTTAGACCTTAAGAGAGGCCAAAAAAACAATAATTTCCTCCGTAAATCTATAATCTCTCCCTGAAACCCAGGAAAAAAAGAGTACAAATAACAGAAAACTTAAGCATAGAAACAGGCATTATTCCACTTACCATATTAATTATTCGCACATTAAATTACCCCTGTACATTCCACAAGCACACAAACTACGAAAATATTGTCCTGTATTTGTGATTACCAAAAAAAAATTCATAATCAAGCTATTGATTCAAGTAACATCATTGATTATAGAGCAAGCATGGTCTATTATCTAATGTCTTTTACCTGTTACTTTTCTGCATTGGTTTTAAAGTTATGTAGATATAGAATTAGGCTCCGTTTGTTTCGATGTAAAATATTTTCTTCAAAAAATATTTTCCTTTTTCAGGTAAAATATTTTCTTTATTTTTACTTTTTTGGTGTTTGGTAAAGGTCTATGCGTCAGCCATGTTAAACTGTAAATAATCCAAACCTGATAAAGGTTAATCCACACCCTCTACTTTCAAGTTGGATTCAAGTTGTGTCAAGAATTGCCAACACTTATTATAAGTTACTTGGTTTTAGTGTATGTAATGTCTAAATGGGTTGCAACCTTTCTAACATTTTCAATGAGATGCTTATTTATTAATAAATAAATTTATTTGCTCTAAACCCATTGCTATGCCTTGTCAAAGGATTTTGCTAACTACAGAAAAGAGGACCTTCTGCAAGTTCTTTGCCAACCAAAGTTTTAAGATGAATCATTAAATGATCATTGATTCTAACAGCCAACACAACAACTGTCCATTTACTTCAGCAAAGAGTAGAACACGGGGAAACAAACCATTTTCTTTGCTCTCTTTGTGGTAACTTTGCGTTAGCTTTGAAATCATTATGAATCATTGAGAGCGATCATAAATTGGAAAAGCCGCTCATTTTCTTTTGGTAATAGTATTGATTCAAGAATTTAATATTTCTTAAAAATTGATAACTTTTTTAATAAATTAAAACACTTAAATTTAGTATCTAGCTAGTTTAGGATTGCTTTTTGATAACCTGAAGAAACAAGCAACGTTTTTATGCTGTGGTCCAAGCAAACATATGTTTATTAAACGTAAGCTTACTGCATCCTTTTTTAGGCTATCAAACTGAGACTTTAGCTCTTTTAGAAGACCATCAAGAAAGCCATTCTATGAAGTTGAAAAGTATGCATGTCAGAGGGATTATGGACTGAAGGCAGTAAATTAGGTCCATGGCTTCATGGTCATACGAGGTAACTTTTGTCTTTCTCTAGAGTGATAGTTTAGAGAATCCTTCACCAAATGCAGAGGCTGACTTCTTGGTCAATAAAAGCCCAGAACTATTGAACGTTTTAATAGACAACATCAACTAAAAAGTTTGTCTAGGGGTTTTCTTAATGTTTCTTGCTTCCTTGTTCCATCAAGGATGCCCCATGCTTATCGTGCATACTTTTGCTCTCCACAATATAATTGTTTTCTTAATATATTACAGAGATCAACTAAAAAAAAAAAGCAGGCACTAATGGAGCATTTTTCTTCTGAACATTAAATAAATATGAAAAAAAAAATATATATTAGTAACCTACTACCATCAAATGCAAGAGATCTTATCCCCAAAAAAATAATCAACATAAAACATAATTTGTTCATTAACACCACAGAAGCACCAGTAATATCTCTCTCACTAACCAAAACATTTAAGCTCCTTGTTGCCAAGATTACAGATGAGGAGGAAATAAAAAACGAACCTTGATGGCATCTACATTTTTCTGTTTGATATCGGCAGGTGAGTGGAGGGAAGTGAACTTTGCTAGTGAAGTCACAAAAGCATCTCTATGAGTCTTCATAGACATTACTGCAGTAACATGAATAGCATAACGGAAGCCTTCAAGGCACTGGGCTATTACTACTTCATCATCACTTTGATCAAGAGGAACACTGAAGGCAGCCAACATAGGAGCCCAGCATACTTCAATCATGAATCTAAGGATCATGACATCTGTTGCTGCATAATAAACTGACCTAGAAATTGCCAAAGCAAGTAGACATCAACAATAAGATCTAAATGATTATCAGTTTTAGATGATGAAATACCAAATCAACAATGAATGAGAAAGAAGAGGGAAAAGAAAGAAAAACTCAACACCCACCCTCCTACTCGGTTCAGCTATATGAACCCTATTTCACAATCCATCCCTATTTAGAGTGATATCTTCCACTAAATCTTTGGCAATCATATCTACTTTTACAGCCTCATCTCATTGTCTTTTTGGCCTTTCTCTTATGGTCTTACCCTAAAGTGTCCTCAACTTGAACCAAATCCCTCTTGTTTTCAAGAAAGAACCATAGGGAAAAAAATTGATATGATTATCCAAAATCATGAAATAACTATCCTTTTGTAATGCATAAGAAATTGAAATGATAATAGTAGTAAGAATTGATATGGCTCAGCTGAAGACAAAGGAGAGATTAAATAACTAGAGGTTAAGTGATATGGCTCTGGTGAAGACATAGGGGAGAGAAAATAACAAGAGGTTAATGACTTGGCATAAAACAGCTATTATTATTATTAATTTTGATGAGTTGACTTAGCATAAAACATTATATGGCTCCAAATTTTGATGGAGTATAAGATTCGTAACCTTGAGTATTTGGGATAAGCTTAGTTCAATTATATGCCTTGCAAAGCATACAAGTTTTTAACGGCAACCAACGGCAGGTATCACAATCATTCATTTAGAACAAGGAAACAAATATGATCTTACTCAGTTTTGCGAGCTTTTTCTTTAAATTGTTCTTGCATGTGTCTGATGAGATCATCGCTGCTTTCCATATGCTTTTCTTCCCATCGTTTACGGACCACAATGTTTAATATACTGTCCAAGCCTAAAATTTTGTTTGAGTTTACAGACTGCTTCTGTTGAAGATCCAAATCACCTCCTTTCATTTTAATCTCATTTCTTGATATTCGTTCAAACAATGATCTCAAATACTCCTCAGGTAAATCTTTTCCATCATCTATACCACGATTATTTCTTATAAAATCATCAGCCGACATCTGCATAATTTGACGACAAAAGCAGAATAAACATAACTTCATCAAAATTCTCTGTTAAACAATTTAAATCCATTATGAACATACCTTGTTCTTAACCATAGGATTATGAGCATCAGTGTTGAGTAATATAACGGAGTAAGCAAGGACGTAGGCAGTGTCTGCACTAGTGAATGCCTTGGGATTACATTTGCAGTAACGTTCAGCAAACTTTTCCATGACACGGTCAATCTTTTGCGCCTCACCAGGCAACCTAAAACCCTGTAGAAAGGCTCTGATTGCCTCATCAAACTCCATACTGCGAAAGTCGAAGGAATCCACATATGCATGCATCACTTTCAGTGGCAACTCCTCCCTTTCCCCTAAATAGTCACCAATCAGAGTCTTGTTCAAACCAGATGCATTTTTGAGGAAAGCAGCAATCTCTTCCGGTGAGCTCCCCACCTTATTTGCATTTATCAAGAATTCAATACCTTTTTTGGGTTTCCGGTTAAAAAGAGATATACCTTCCTGCCATGAATTTTACATTAGATCCAAGTGGAAATTGCCAGATGAAATATATTGAAAAGAGAACTGCTTCCATTGAAGCATGTTATGGTTATTTACCTGAAGTTCAAGCTTGTAGGCCCGGCGCTGCTCAATTGCCAAAACACCAGAAACTTCACTGGAGGCTTCAGAATGAGAGTCTGATCCTTCAACAGGCTCATCCCCATTCCCGTTAGCCATTGGAAGATTTCCAGGTTCAGGGTTTTCAGCTGCTTCAGATTTCTTGGTAGAATGAGGATCTGGAATGCGCAACTGTTTGTTCATCCAGTCCCCCATTGATTTCAAAACAGCCACTAAACACTTCATGGCTTCAAGTTTCATGGTTGCATCCTGCTGTGGCAGCAATGAAGTGATAGCACCAGGAGGTACACCTTGAGCAGTTTTAAGAAGTCCATTGACCATTCTGGTAAGGATATAGATGAAAGGATAGGAGCACACACTTATCAATTGTCCAAAACAAACTCAGTCTAAGATGCTCTATCTTTTAAACAAAGAAAACGTGTCAATGTTCAATGACCTGTTCTACGAAATTGGAAAATTCTTCTATTGTCAATGTTTTCGCATAATTGAATCAAAAACAGAATTTAAACATGAAGCATTGAACAAATACCTCTCAAATATGTTTGATGAATTGACATCACAATCATAGTTAATAAATATATCTACCAATATCTGTGAATCAACGCAGAGTTTCTCAAGAAAACGAAGCACTATCAACTTCTGCTGAAAATTAGGTTGAGCAACATTTTCCAAAACCCTGAGAACAATCATAGGAAAAAATACACCAATCTCTGCCTTCAATCCAGCTCTAAATCTTGACACCAGGCTAATAAAAATGGAGCAAGAAAGCTGGAAAACAATCATAAGGGTCGATGCACTGTTCTTCAACAATGAGAGACACAAATACTGCTTAATGGCACCTAAAAATCTGTTTCAACACCGCAAAAATATATATACATCAGGAGACCATGAGTGAAAAATCTTGATACTTAATTACTAGAAATTTAAGTAGTAGCACATAAGCTTCATTACAGATTATATGTGGGAAGCAAGAATATTGCAAATAAAAGAATGAAATACTTTGAAGTAAGAACTTAACCAAAAGAGAGTATGCAACACACTGCAGGCAAGCGAAATGGTGAGAGCTGTTTGCTCATAAACCAAGAAGAAAATAACTAGTCAGAGTATGCATGACTGCTGAACCACACATGTTTCTTCGGAGACTTGAACCCCTGACCTCCCTTTAGGAAGTAAAAGGCCGATACCGCTAAGCCACTGACCCATTGGTATGTTTAAGCTCCCATAAGGGGGGAAAATGAAAAAGGCATTGCCTCAGGTCATGTTAGACAATATCAAGTTCAGTTATTCAACTAGGGCATTCTTTAGTAGAAAATCTACTGCAGGTAAACTTTCACGGAGCAGATGCATCAAATGAACAGGACTCATCGCAATCCGAGCTAAGGGTTTCAAATATAGAATATAGTGGCTTGCGCTGAAAGAAATGTCCATAAAAGTCCAATGATCAATTGATTACCAACAACAAAATCATTATCATCATCCTTGCCTTAATCCATATGAATAAGGTTGGCCCCATGAATTTTCTTTTTCCATTCTATTCTATTACAAAAAAATCTCACTAATATCCAACTCTTCACCATATTTGGCTCCATATATTCAGTTTTAGTTCTACAAAATAGTGAAACGAAATATAACTTAAGACATCATTTAGTTTAATAACCCAACTCACTGAAGAAGATAAGGGAACTAATGTGCACCTGAGTAATGAACTGAACACAATGCAGTAATATGAAGCACAATAACAGAGAAACATGAGTACCTTTCACTAGTCCTAAATATAGCCCCTGCATTTTCCAACAAAATCTTGAGCAACTCCAAGGCCACAATCTTCCCCCGCATCAACTGTGGGTCCGCCAATGCCTCCTTCGGTGGTGTCTTCATCGAGAGCTTACAAAGAGCTCGAAACACCAAAAACGCATCCCTGCGCAACTTGTTCCCAATCTGAACTTCCAAATCATCATCCCTCTCCAGCTCACCGTCTGCCAATTCGCCTTTTCGATCCTCCAATGCCGTCTTATACATACTAATCTCCCAATACTTCGCATCCAACATATCCTTATCTGTAGAATCCAACAAATCTGCCGGATTCGTCGACTCCACCGTCGGAGTGGTCTCAAACGCCCCATCATGCACTCCCGCCGAGGTTGAACCCTTCGGCGTTCCCGGATTCAACACCCCATCAATGTCCTGCATAATCCTCGTAATAAACCCCTGAACGAACATCGTCCCGTCGGCGTCCGCCTTCTCCGCCGGCTCCATCAGCTCCGCCACCACAATCGGCTGCACCGGCACAGTGGACGAGTCCGCCTCCATCCTCCTAAACACAATCACCAGCATCTGAATCAGCGACGCCTTGGCCGTCGTCTGATTCACCGCGTTCTTGCTCTCCAGATACACATCATAACAAGTCCTCACGATCTGCAACAAACAATCGCCGTGTATCCGCAGCGACACCGACGTCACCGCCGATAACAGCGTCCTGAGAACCAACAATTCAACCCCCTCGTCGCCCAAATCTTTACACTTACACACCGATTCGATCAGTTTCGCCAGCAGCTTCGCCTCGGGGCCACCGGTGGGGTCCGATTCGCCGTGGAGGAGGCCATGAGCGATCAATTTCTGAACACAATCAAGACCAGGTTCGGCGATCTTGAGATTTCCGGAACCACAGGCGTTGATGATGGGACTGAGAATGAGCTCTGATTCGGCGAGGGAGAATTCGGTGGCACCGCCGTCGTGGAGGACGCCGGGGAGGGATGAGGTGTCGGGCTCTGATTGGTCCGGTGAAGTGGGAGTGAGAGGTGGCTTTTCTGGGGAAGTGATTCGCTCGATAACGGCTTTGCACTGGTGAACAAGCTTGGAGTGTTTGCGCCACGAACCGTTCTTGATTATCTTTTCTAGGGTTGGGATTAGGATCTGATTGAGACGGGAATGGGCTTCCGGAGAAGCCATTCCCGGTGGGAGTTGAAAATTGGGTTCAGATCTGGAAATGGATTGGTTTTCGGTGAAGTCAGATGTTGATTAGAGAGTGAGAGAGTAGAAAGAGAGAAGCTCCAGATCGCGTTTTGCGTTGGATTTGCTCTTGTTTGGAAGTCCAAAGTTTAGACATACAAAATTTGCAGAGTATTATTTATTCATATTAAAATCTTTGAATTGCAGAGCACAGCAAATAGAATAAGGATGTACCAGTAATATACACAATTGCACACACATGTAAATGTAGCTTTGTTCATATTAAAATCTTCTTTGTTGTAACGCAACCTTCAGTACATTAGCTGATGGTAGGGATTGATTTGACTTAATTGACCTTCAAGTTTTCAATTTCCTTGTGTTAAGAAAATGAAAAAATTTGTTGTTTAAACTAACTATTCAAGTTAGGTTTTTGATATTTAAGATGCAATTGACTGGAGCTGAGTTTTCATGTGTCTTAAATTTAAAATAATTAAATATAAGTGGTTCGAAATCAATTTGAAAAGCTCGTCCAGTTTGCTAATTAAATTTGAACTCAAGCTTGGAGTAAACCAAAAAAAAATGGTGATTATTGTAGCTGTTTGCATTCTAGAGTCTAAACAAAGATTAATACAAAGTATTTGTTTACTAGTGGTGTTATTAAAGAGACCAAGAGTTGAGTAGAATTATTTGACATATATTATTGATTAGTCATTCATGTAAAATACAAAAAAATATAAAGCACCTCACTACTTTATATTTTGCATACATTACTAATTAAGATAAGGAATTATTTACAATTTTTTTTTTACTTTAAAAGCATTTTTCTTTCATTTTATTAAAAAATAGTAGTAATTTAAGAACCGACCAATATTATTGATTGGTCTTTATATTTTGCATACATTCTAATTAAAAATTCTTTACAATTTTTTTACTTTAAAAAGCATTTTTCTTTATTTTATTAAAAAATAGTAGCAATTTAAGAACCGAAATCAATTGTAACCAAATTCAATGTGGAAGCCCACCACCAAGGGGTAGAGCCAGCAATTAAATTTAGGAGGGTACATTGTAAAAAAATAATAATAATTAATAAACATGATAATAAATATAAATTCTTAAAATCAAGTCGCAAAGGAGAAAAACTGCTCAAGATAATATATCAATTAATGAGTCGTTTAAGATATATAAATAATTAACAAAAATTTTAAAAATGAAATAAAAATGAGAGAAAAAAAAAAATAGACTTTGATTAAAAAAAGGAAATTTTGACTTTTTTCTTAAGGAAATTAAACGAATTTAAAGAGTAACAAAAAGAATAAATATAAAATTTAAGAGATAATTTTAAAAAATAATAATTTTAGGGGGGCATTATATGAATTTTTTCATATATACCTATAAAAATACATAAATTTAGTATATGCACGTTCCGTTGCAGACACTTGTTCCGCTCCTGCCACCACCCCACTAACTAGGGGTAACAATTCATATTTGTGGATCATAATCGTGTCATGTCGATGTAAATGTGTTCTACTAAATAGGTAAACTCAAACTCTATCCATTTAATAATCGTATCAGGAACCCTCAACACTAACCTAACATGTTTATTAAATGGGTTAACTTGACCTGTTTCTCAAAACAAGAAGTTTAATATCCAATCAACTAATAAATACTAGAAAAAATTTGTCACAATTAACCCAAATATTCAAAATAAGAAGAAAAATCATAAAGCATAGTAAAGTTAATGTTGAAATGACTTAACTGTCCATAATAATTGGGTTTAAATAGGTAATATAATACATAGATCATATTCATGATTATGATATGTTAAATTAAACGGGTATAAACGAGTTACATGGGTTGAACCTCTTGACCCTAACCCAACACGATTAAGTAAACGGGTTAATCGTATCAACCCGTTTATAACCCAAACCCATTTAAGATCAATCTAAACCCGTTTATCCCGTGTCATGATGGTAAATTGTGTCGTAATTTGTCATCCTTACCATTAACATAAATTGATTTGATGACTGTCAAATTTGGTCCTTAAATCACTCTAATTCTAAAATCATATTTGCATCTCGTCAAGCCAGGCCCCCGACTATAACCCAACTCTTTTATGCAGGCTCAAATTTCGGCACTAGCCCAACCCATGCAATTTTTAAACTTGGGTCTACACATACCTACCTATGTCTGATGGTGGTGGTATATTTTATTTGTTTAGTGGGGGGTCCATACGTTTCACCAGGTTTTATCTTCTCTACTCCTCTGTCCACATAGTTCTCTGCTGCTGCTACTCCCTCTAAAATTTACAATTACAACCCTCATCTCTCTCCCCTCTCTCTCACAGACACCCCCAGAATTCGAACCGTTTAAATCTCAAGATAATAGGATTTCACCGCTTAAAGCTCAGGATAGTAAGATTTCTTCTGTACTCATCTAGAATTCCTTTGTATTTTGGTGTTGTAAAATTATTTGCATTGTTATTTTTGGTAACTGTAGCTTTCTTGTTATTGTTTCTTATATTCACAACTTGGCAAATTATTCCAATTCCTCCCTAAACCCAATAAGCACTTGCATTCCTTCTTCAAAAGTCCTTTATGCGAGAAGTGCGACACAAGTATATATTTACTTGTTGGGTTTTACTCAATTTCTGCATTTGTTTCTGCAATTAAAGTCCACTAACTCTTTATTTCTTCACAAATTTCCAATGCCCTTTATCTGTGTCGTTCCAATTATCTTATTGGTTCTATTTTATTTGTAAGGGATTGTCTCATTTATGTTGCGAGAACAATTTTTGGAGATAGTTTTTCTTAAATAATTTTAGTTATAAAGAAATTAATCAACATTTTTTTGTTCTTTGCCAGGGAAAAAAAATTCCATCAAACATAAACTGCCTTAATTATAGGTACAATGGTCTTTGTTTGATGCATTTTTGCTCTGTTTCATGGGTTTATTAACTTGTAATGTGCTATATATTTCAAACCCAAATTTTGCATTAAGCTGTGAAATTTCAAGAACCCGTCACTGCCATTTATGGGGAAAATCTTTGTTGCAAAATTCTACAACCTCTGGGTTTCCTAAATCCCGTTTTCGACCGGTGGTAGTTATTACCAATGTACAGGAGATAGAAAAAATTGAAAACAAAGAAGAAGAGAAACCAAGGTTTAAGTGGGTTAACATTGGTCCTGACATATCAGAAGCCCAGAAAGTGGCCATATCTCAACTCCCACCAAAGATGATCAAACGATGCAAGGCCCTCATGAAACAGATTATTTGTTTCTCTCCGGAAAAAACCAGTCTGTCCCATTTGTTGGCTGTGTGGGTGAAGATCATGAAGCCCACGAGAGCTGACTGGCTTTCGGTTCTCAAAGAATTGAGCAATTTGAATCATCCGTTGCTCTTTGAGGTATTAATTTTGTTAGTTGCAATTGCAATTTCCTAGTCGATTCCTTTTTCTGGATGTTGATAATTAGAAACTATGTTTCTGTTATAGGTAAATGACACACCCACTTTACTTTGTCCCAATTGGGACTTGAAACCTCATCCATTTCATTGGAAGGTGGAGCAGATAATGCTCAAGCTAAACCTCAATAGTGATAGTTGGAAGATATTATATTATTTCAAACAAGATATTTTATGAATTTCTTGCTAAGCTGGAAAGCTGGTCCAGTTGTAAAATGATTGATTTTCTGTGTTCATGCTATAGATCTAAATCAATATGCTTTGAATTTTATGCCTCTACATTGTATGCTAAATTGTGTGACTTAAATTTTAAAACTTCAAGCTTCAGAACCTTAGTTATGCAATTTGTAAGAAGAATTTTGCTTCCAGTCTTTGTGATTTGAGGGTTCTAGCTGCAACACAGCAAATTTCCCAATATATACCATAAAACATTGCACCTCATATGTTGGGGTGCTATTAATCTGCAATTGGCACATCTGAAACCTTCATAATCATCTGAAATTCCAAAAGAATGTACTTGTTTCTACTAAAAAAAATTGTTGAGGAATTCTTTGTATTACAATGTTTAGCTTCTACATTACAATGTTTCTAGCTCCTGAAATATTTATGGTTTGTGACAGTGCATCATTATTCTGCTAATATAGTCCTTCTCAACAACATATGAACCTAAACATTGAGATCTTCATATTCTCCATCCTTATTTTCATATGTGGAAGCACATATACAGTAACACCTGTAAGCGTCTTCATATTAAGATTCAAGAGTTCAATGTTAGAAACTCTATATATGACCTTTCAGAAGGATAAGCTGCCACAGAGAGAATGCATATGAATGTGCATTGCATGTTTCACCGTGCCCTAGTTGAAATGAGGTGAACCATCATCTTTTCACTTTGACTTGATGTCTCTTTGTCTATACTACTACTTTTCCCGAGTATACGTCTTTCTCTCCTGATAAATGAACAAAAATGCTCCATTTCGGTGTCAAGGGAAATTGTGGTAATCTGGAATAACGAATTCCTCTAATTTCCATGTGTAAGTGATTAAAATGTAAATCCAATGAGCAGTTAGCTTTCATCTTCATTTGTAGTATGCCTTAAATATTTCTCCTAAGCAAACAGCAAACCCAACCCCCCCCCCCTTCTCCCTTCTGTTCCCATCCTTACGAGCACTTCATTGGGTACTTATCAAAAAAAAAAACGAGCACTTCATTGGGTACATAGATACAATTTGTCAAGTATCGAATTTAATGCCCTGATCATCAGCTTTTTTAATTTTTCCTTCAACTGGGAATGAATTATTACTGTTATATTATTTCAGCTATTATAGATGGAAATTTGGGCTTGTCAACTATTCTTTTCAAGTTCATCTGAGCATTTGTGTTTTTCTTTTATTCGAACTTCTATTTTGCTTTTAAATTCTGTCAAAGTCACGTTAATTTTCAAGATCTTATGCCACTTTACCATCTGGTGTTTGGTTGTGGCGTCAAAAACAGTTTTTAACTGCTTTTCTTTTGGTGCCAACTTTTCATTTGACGTTTTCCCCCACCCAACCAAATAAATGGTGTTAAGTTGCGTCGTAGGAAATAACACTTAACGGTCCAAAGTTACTTACCCAAAAAGAACACTTAATGGTCCAAAGTTAGGAGAGACATAATTTACCAAATGGTGTAAATATTTGTCCTCGATAAAATGAGAAACTTCCAGGAAGATAGCATATTACTATTGAACTGGTTTCCTAGAGCCCGTATCTTTTTGTACAAGAGCATTATAGAGTGTTGTCCCATCAATTACAGTGTTTGGAGGAATGGACTTGGTGTAGGCCTAATCATCATCTTTACTCCCCTAAACTGGCTGTCCCTAGATTTAACTTTGTGATTTCATAGTTGAGAGGCCAAGCTTTTATAATTATATTAAGCAATGACTCTTGCAACAGATTTCTTTAGAAGCCTTTCTTTAGGGTACATATTTCAATTAAGCTCTGCAAACAAAGGGGGGCATTGCCGCATTAGTCATCCCCGATGTTTCAAAATCTAATTGAATGTCAACATTATGAATCTGGATTCTTTTTGTAGCTTATTTATTTTAACATCATTATGTGCATGCAGATGGAGTGTCTCAAATTGTTAGCCTCAGCTTCATGTCTGAATTATATTGCCCACTTAATTTATTTTAGGTGGCAGAACTTGCACTCCTGGAAGACTCATTTGAAGCTAATGTTCGTGACTATACCAAGATAATTCATGGTTACGGGAAGCAAAATCGATTGCAAGATGCTGAAAGTATCTTCTTGGCCATGAAGAAAAGAGGCTTCGTATTTGATCAGGTGACCCTAACTGCTCTAATTCACATGTACAGTAAGGCTGGGAATCTTAAGCTTGCTGAAGAAACATTTGAAGAGATGAAGCTGCTTGGCCCAACATTGGATAAAAGATCATATGGCTCAATGATCATGGCGTACATTAGAGCTGAAATGCCAGACAAAGGAGAGAGTTTACTTAGAGAAATGGAAGCCCAAGAAATATATGCTGGAAGAGAAGTTTACAAAGCATTGCTGAGAGCATACTCCATGATTGGTGATAGTGAAGGAGCTCAAAGGGTATTCGATTCAATTCAATTTGCAGGCATCATTCCTGACGTCAAGCTGTGTGGACTGCTCATAAATGCCTATGTAGTGGCAGGTCAAAGTCACAACGGTTATATTGCATTCGAAAATATGATGAGGGCCGGTCTTGAACCTAATGATAAATGTGTTTCTCTAATTATGGCTGCTTATGAAAAGGAGGATAAGCTGAACAAGGCACTGGACTTCTTGATATATTTGGAGAAAAATGGAATTATGCCTGGGAAAGAAGCGTCAGAAATACTGGCTAGGTGGTTTCGAAGGTTGGGGGTGGTAAAAGAAGTTGAGCTTGTGATAAGAGAATATGCTTCCAAGGTAGCTCCTGCTTTTTAGTTCACCAGCAACCTCTGTTACATTTTCATGTCTGCCTTGTAAACGGCCCGAGTCTCCTCTTCTGAATTATACTCCGATCAGTTGCCAAGAAGATGTAAGAATATCGTCAGATCTTAACTTTTGGGTCTTTCCACCTGGAACTCTTGGCTGTAAAGGCCCCTTGAATGTTTCAACCGTTTTTTTTTCGGTTGGATTGATGAGGGAATAAAACCAATACACTGACAGTTGCGCTTCTGATTGGGTATGTTTTTCGATTCACATCTCTTGTGGAACTCATTTTTGACACCAGACCAAGGGAAGAGTGTCAACTGTCGTTTTTGTGTTCTCTCAAACTCCGGCAAGTGAGGCTCAATCTGCAGCTAAAGTAGCAGAGGTGTACTAAATTATCAATATTACCTGAAAATGGAAGTCAGTCCTGAGTATGTGGTGTATTAATGAACCTGGAACCTGTGCTTTTAATTCTAACCCACTTTCTAATTAATCTGAAGTCTGAACCATTGATACTATATGCATTCTCTATTCACTTTTTGTTAGTTGTGTTACTTGTGCATGGAGATGCGCACGCACATGATGATACATAGGAGGGAAAATCACATCTAGTGGACCCTTTTTACAGTCACATCACGTGAGGTCAAAATTTTCAAATGTTTGAATAGGTGAATTCTTCAAAATTGTTTAGGTGGACTTAACAAACACGGTGTATTATTTTGAATTACCTATAATACTCCGTATGTCGTTTTTACAATCACACTGTATATATATGCGCAGTTTTCTCTACCATGTTTCAAATGACTGAACTATTTTGAACTTTTTCAAAAAAAAAGAAAAGAAAAACTGATTTCTCAGAAGAACTGAAAATTCAGATAAGGAGATCCATCTACTGTTAAAAGAAACTAACAAACTTAATGTTCAAACTTTCTTCCAAATTTAAACAGAACACAGCATAATGAAACACACATACATAAACCACTACTTGATTCTAATCCTACAACAAGCACAACAAGCCTTACTACTTGCATTACCACACACTAAAATTAAGTAAAACAGAACTTTTAAACCAGGCTCCAACCATCATGGATCTCCGGACAAGTACCTAGTACATTGGGTCAGTTTCTTCATCTCCTAGAAGCTCTCTCGCAATTGCTTCTAAAACCGAGGAAGTTGGTGGCCTAATTGGATCATCTTCTGGTGGAATTGTCCCAGAACTTTGCCCAATTGGTTCGAAAAAGGACGAGGGGTCATAGGAAGTGAACATCGAGGACCCTAATGGTATGTCCTCTGATAGGGAAGGCGGCGTTTGAGGTGGCGGTGGTGGAAGAGGGGGTGACCCTAATGGTATGCCCTCCGATAGGGAAAGCGGTGTTTGAGGTGGTGGTGGAGGCTGCATATATGAAAGTTCCAGCCGGGCTTGTAAGTTTAAAATTTCCATTTTCAAATTCGACACCTGCATGTAATGTCAATACACAAATAATAAGAAAATCATATTTTTGGGTATAAAAATAGTATTAACATTGTCTTTGGAAGCACTGAATTGATGGTAAATAAAAAATAAAAAAATTAAGCAACGATTCAATACTCAAGCATAATACAAAAGGGCAAGTATATTAGATATGCATCCACACACAATCTTCAAAGACAATTTGGAGACGACCTTCCATCCATGCAATTAATGTTAATTTATACTGTAGTTAGAAAAAGCACCAACCTCCGCTTCTGATCTGTCCTGTAATCAACTTAATTGTGTGTGCGCGCACCGTGCACGTATTGCGTAAGGCTATGTATAACTTTATCACAACCTCTTGTCTGGTTGTGTAGAAAAATTAATAAAATGTTCTCAACAGTGTCTGGTTGTATAGAATACATTTAAATTATTTAAAATTGATGACTTGTGCAACAACCATTCCTTGTTAATCTCGAGCACTCATATTTAGCTTTTAAGTATTTGTAGTTATGTAGATAATTATTAAGAAAAAACTTACTTATAGTGATTCCAAAGAAATTCGACCTCTCAACCTTCAAATTTGTGTGAAATGAAACTCACAGTGTTTTTTTTAAAAAAAGGTATCCTGTTGTCAATCCAAAAACTTTAGGTATGCTATACAAATTAAATTGAAAGTTTAAATTGATTAAACATTTTGATTAATAGATGATAAGGTACTAACCCGTATCTTCCTGTCGGATTTAGGGATTTTTTAATGGCTAAGAATTAAAAATTCCTGTCTATGACACCTCAAAAATAGTAATTTTATAAATAAACATAACTTATATGCCTCCAAAACTCATAAAAATGATATACCAAAACAAAATATATTTAAAAATTAATTTTGTAAACAATATAAATAATTTCTTAAAAAAAATGATTCTGTAACAATTCTTAAATTTACCACTTATCTTTTCACTCGTGACTTATCATTTCAGTAAAAGATCTAACTGTTTCCCTCGGTGCAGCACATCTTAGTCCGCTAATATATTCATATATAATAATAATAACTAATACGGAGAAATAAAAATGATATTATATATAAAGAGAGGAGAGAACTCATTAATCGTTCAAGTTCACTCAAATGTGACCTTAAAAGGACCAGTTGATTCAAACAAACAAGACCTAGCTAGTGGATCTAGATCCGATCCGATATATGCACCCTTATATACCAATTTGGGTACTAATTAAATTGCATGGTTTAATCCATGTTCTATGTGCATGCATGTGGTACTAATATTGTTCACGCGTGTGTTTTTTTATTAGTATTCTTATAAATTTGTCACTCATATATATGTAGTCTCTCAAATCCAAGAGTCAAATTATAAGAGCACAAGAGCTCAGTAGTAGCATTATATATAAATATATATGTGTGTGAATGTGTAGTGGGGTGTATATAAATGTGTGTGTAATATTGTACCTCTCTTTGGAGAGAGAGCATTTTAGCTACAGCGCCATAGACAGGCTCCTGAAGCCTAGCCTCTGCCTCATAACACATGGTGACCACCACGATAAGCCGCCGTTGGACCGGTATTTTCTCAAGAAGCTTGGCAAAGTTGCTAGTTCCGAAAACCTTGTGCACCGCCCTGAAATGGGACACACCTACTTCCGCCGAGTCGAAGTAGGGCGCGAATAAACATTCTGGCGAGCACTTCTTCCTCAGGTACTTGCAGCCACCGCACGGTCCTGTACCACTGCCACCGCCATTGGCGCCGCTACTCATACCACTGTTTGCATTCATCATTTTCAGGGCTAGGGAGGGGTCTTGAAGGAGAGAGTCTAGAGAGAGTGAAGGGTGGGTATCGTTTGTTGAGTTTGGTTTGTTTGGTTTGGAGGACGATTTAAAGACGACATAGAAGAGTTTAGAAGCACGAGATGACGCAAACTTCATATACAGGTTGCGCGAAGCCATCCATGCGGGAAGACACCTGCTTCCTATTTAACTTCCTCTCAGCTCGTGCATGTGCGTTTTGGAAGCACTTCTTTTCTTCTCTTCGTCTTTATTTCTCTCTCTAGAGATTCAATTCATTCATTTTTTTTATTATTATATTTTTTTGGAAGCACTGCTTTTCCATCTTAATTTATGGACATGGCAACAGGAAAACGGTTCCGCGCTTCAAAGGCATAAAATTAATATATTGCCCACAAATTACTATATATTTAACGTGAAATGTTTATTTGACACCAGGATGTTAGAAATTATAGTAATAATTCATGATTTAAGAGTCCGATATATTTAACTAAATTTATGTGATTAATGAATGATGTCATGTTGATATCATTTTTTACTCACATAAAATAATTGGATATGTCGAGCAATGAAGAGTGGATCCTTCAGAGCCCCCTACCATACCCCTAACGGTGGGTAGAGATGGTTTATAAAAGAAATTAAAATATTTAGTGCACTCGGTGCATCATGCACGGGCTAATCGGAGTCATTCGTGATGTGTTCGTGCCCGCACGTGTTATGCATGTACAACTCATATTAGCTCAATGCATGGTGCACCGTAGCGAATATCTATTCTCCCTAACCCCCACTAACTTTTAACTCTCTATCCATTGCCCAATCAAAATATATATCTATATATATATATATAATAATTATTATTATAAAATAAAATTAATTAATTAAATTTTTTTTAAAAATGATAGAAGGATAGGATAGGTAACTAAAGAAAATCATAGGGGTAAAAATGAGAGATGGATGGGAAAGTAAAGAAAATCATAAGCCAAAAAAGTTATATTGGTACCTCACCCTAACAAGATAGGCCGGGCCACATGCTGTTGCCTTTTACTTTTTATTTATTTACTTATATTATTTTATTATAATATTGACAAAAAAATATAGTCATGTTATTGAACTACACAATTTTTGGTTTTCAAAAATAATAAAAATATATGTGTTTCCACTCACATGTTAAATAAATAAATAACAATATTGTAAAGGGACACTATCGTTGGAGAGAAATTATTTTGAAAGTTTTCCTGACAGTATTTTTTAAAATATAAATGGAGATGAAATGAGAAACAATAAGGTTGGTTTGGTTAGATGAAAATTGCATGAAAATAAAAGAAATAATTTTTTTTTATTTTATTTAACATTGTGAGAGTGTTGATGGTAGGAATAGAAAAAATTAGTTAGAAAGAAACTTTTCACAATCACTTAACTTTTTCATAAATTTTTTTTTAAAAAAAATATCATAGAAAATTTTAATATTTTTAAAATTTTTAAGTCTACGATGTCTTCTTTTTTGTTGAAAGTTTCATGCATTTCAAACTATAGAATAATTTTTAACTAAACAGAAAGAGATCATGCTAATTAAATATATATTAAAATCTTTTTTCATTCACTGTACTTTCTTTTACTTTCTAATTAGTATGATTTAGTTAAATAGATTTTTATTTTTATTATATTATTTATTATTATTATTTTTTGAGGGCAAGTGACGGATTCTAATAATTTGCATCAGTTCAATTCGTGTCCAATGCAAGCAGCCCGAAGACGTGTCAAATAACAAAGGAATGTAATATATTTTTCACTTATAAGTGATAACATAATATCATATTCAGTAATTATTAACCATTTTTTATGAATAAAAAATAATTACTCAATATTGAAGGAGATACTACATTATCGACCTCGCGCGTTAATTTGCTTGAAAATAAAAGTAGTCTTTTTGATCCCACGATTGGTCGACACGTATATTGACAACTTTATGGTTACCAGTTACTTATGTCATAAAATTTCTATTGCACCAAAACAAAATTTTAGTGTACATTTGATTATTTCGTGTTTAAACGGCATTTATTTAACAATTGTGACATTAGTTAAGTTCAGATGATGGAAAAAATAAGAAATGTTTTCTTTTCGGGGCCATTGATTTTATTTTCCTTTCGGGGCCATTGATTTTTATGCCTGTCAAACTTTATATATATATATATATATATATATATATATAAAATCAATGGCCCCGAAAAGAAAACATTTCTTATTTTTTTCATCATCCGAATTTAACTAATGATATGTATATATAAAGTTTGACAGGCATAAAAATCAATGGCCCCGAAAAGAAACATTTTTTTTATTTTTTTCATCATCTGAATTTAACTAATGTATATATATATATATATATATATATATATATATATATATATATTTCATTTTAGGACAACTTTTTGTGTAACTCATGCCAAAGATATTTTTCAAATTTATCCCCATAATTTAATCATGGGTTCTTTTAAATTTTTTCATGCATGCCCTTGTTTTCCCTTTAACCGTTTTTTTTTTTTCTTAAAAAAAAAAAAAAAATGTGTTTGTTGTACTTTGCAGTGAATTTACAAGATTAATTCCACTTTTTTTTTTTGGTAATTAGCCGACAAATAGCATTATCAATTGTACAGAAGTTCAATATTTTTAAACAATAAATTATAAATGTTGATAGCGCATTCAAAATTCAGAATCTCAGGAGTGATTGTTTTTAGATGATAAATAACAAATTTTACTAGTGAAAAGGTCTTTTTTTTTTTTTTTTTTGGAAGGGTCTAGTGAAAAGGTCTTGTTTGTTCTTTTTCAGCGATTTTTTAGGTTGTTGTTCTTCTCCGAACCTTTTAAATTTAGTTTGGAATAATACTAAATATTTAGTTATTAAATATATGATTACTATTTCAAAGCATTTGCATATGGAATGCATTTAAACCATTATGATTATAGAAAAATTAAGGTATCATCTTGCTTAAATTGGCTAAAAATACTTAATTAGCCTGTGAAAGTTCTTAATATTATATATGACTTTTCTTTTTTCTCCTGACAAATAACTCTCATAATTTTTACCTCACTTTGAAAGGAAAGGAAATACAAGGACAACTTTCTCACAAGTTTTTGTGGTATACTTTATAAACTAATTACAGAATTCCATCTAATTATGTTTTTCATTGTACAAAATTATTTTATTTTTTTTATCAAATAATGCTATATTAAGAGTGCACTCTTGTGATCAAAGGGCATGTAGCTTAATGGTATAACCTCTTTATCTTCACAGGAGAGAAGGGCAAGGGCTCGAGTCCGGGTGTGGGCAAAAAGTGTTTGTGAGTAACCCGTGTGTGTTTCTTACCCAAAAAACATAAGAAAGAAAAGGTTTGTGTCAAGAGGAATGACATATTATAACCATTTGATTGAAGGTTATTTTTGTTAGTGTAATGGAGGGGTTTTTTTGTTTTGTTTTTTTTTTTAAAAGGCTTTTCATCTATGGACTTGATTCATGTGTAAAGACAAGTTTCATACAAGAAAAAGATAATGTTCAACATATGTAGAATTAAAATACTCATGTCAAAAGCTTGAGTAAGTATTAAATCTCTCGTCTAAATTGAATTTTCTCACTTATTAAAAATCCCTTGAGCTACATTTTTCCTCCTTAGACCTCATCCTTGAAAATGATGGTTTTGTCTTTAAGTATCACCCATATGCCTCCGTGAATGATCTTAGTGGCTAGGCTTGTGGAATCACCTTAGATACGAGAATACTAAAATATATATTCTTCACACACAAATGGTACTAAAAAACTAACTAGCTTCGTGTATATATATAGTCACGGCTGAAAATAATAATTCTCAATCTTTACAATAAAAGGTGATATCTCTAATCTCATGGTCTTCCAAAATCAAGTTGAGTTATAAGTGAAAATCCTTTAGGCTTAATTTTTTTTTTTTGCTCCAATGAATTAACAATTGACTCGGTCCAACTACCATGGACCCAATTCAATTAATTCATAAATTAATTTCTACTCCTATAAGAAATTAATTGACCTCCAATCAAATAGTAAACAATCACTAAGTCAATGTTGGTGCTTTGAACCCTCTATGCATAATTAGTTATCGGATAATTAAAACCATCAATCCGACCGCATAATTAATATATTTATTTTAGTTCCATGATTATTTTCTGTCTTGATTACAATTGACATTTGTTTGACAAAAATAATAATCTAGTGTGTGTGTTTGTGTGTGTGTGTGTGTATTTGAGAAAAACACATAAAGCCTTCGAATTTACTTTGTGATCAACCATAATCAATACAAAATAAATATAAGTAGTACCGATATAAATATTAAGAATATAACTATTTAACTATTAGTTACATAATTACCTAAAATGCCAGTCAAATGATCTTGAAAGTTCTGTCGAACAAATCAAAGTAAATATTAATCAATAAAATAGTTTATATTTTTCTCATGCTTGAGAGTCAAACGCCATGACGTCATATGGAGCAATTGAATATGATGGCTCTTGCAATATATCTTAACATATCATGGATCAGGTTCAAGTCTTAGTTAATTAAGAGTCCATCCTTAATTACCAACTACGAACTATTTATAATTACTATTTATAATCTTTTATTGATCGCCATCACATACATATAAATATCTCTTGAAATCAAGTGGACACATTCAATTTCATAATGAATTGAAACATAATATATTTGCATTCATCAATTGTATAAAACATAAATATCATTTTAGATTATTAATGAATATAATATATTTCTAATCCAATTAAGAATTTGTTAAGTCAGGGCAAATAAATCCCAACAATTTTAAATGATTCATTTAACTTTTCACATATCTCAAAAAACCCTTCTTAATCCAATTACTAAATGTGGGGAGCTCATGTTTCTTGTCATGAGTGTGCTCTCTTGATAGCGTTACACTTTTCAACCTTTCTATTAAGTCTTTCAAGATCAAACCAGATTACCACATCAAAGATATGGTTACTATTTTGAGTTAAATTGACTTAATTTGATTCGCCGGATTATTCGATCAAATATTAATTATTTGTATCTAACAACTCCCTACTAGTCATTATGCTTCATTAGAAAATTATAATTTTATTATTTTTTAGTCTATTATAAAACAAAACTA